ATCGAAACATTGCAGTCAATGTAATTTCTCTCGAAAAACGAGTTAAAGAATATTTTTTCGTTGGCCAATGAGTGACTGTCACATTTTTTCATTCATCTTAAAGTGTCACTCAATTTTTCGTTTCATTTTTTAATAAATTACAGCCATGAGCTTTATTTAAAAAAAAAATTAAAATAGAATTTTTTTTCAACAAAATTAAACACGAGTTGAAAGGTATTTTTTCAATGACCAATGAATGACAACCACATTTTTTCATTCATCTTATAGTGTCACTCAATGTTTTGCTTCATTTTTCAATAAATTTCAGTCGTGACTTTAATTTTAATTTAACTACAATAGATTTTCTCTTTTAACAAAATTGAGTAAATTTAATTTTTCGGGGTAATCTCTTAAATTGTGCAATTCAAGCCACTTTTTCCATTTTTTAAAAAAATCATGGTACATATTTATTATTTTTTTAAAAACTCAAATCAATTTCTTCCATTTCTCTAAAAATGTCAGTAAATTTGTCCTCCACCCAAAGTTTTTCTTTGTTCTGTTTTTGTTTTGTTTTTATTTGTGTATAATTTCATTTTCTTATTTTCCCTGAAACCATGAGTTTTTCAATGGGTACTTTCATTTGCCTCGAAATCAAAATCAATTTTAAAAAGTTTACTGCATGTCTATCTCCTATAAACCGGCAGTCAAATTTTAATTTCTCCGCACACGATCCGACCCCAGCAGTAAAAGAGACGTAAAAAATTAAAAAAGCTCAGACTAAATGTGCACTATAATTCGCAGAAGCAGCCAAACCGCGAAACGAGTGCCCTCAATTGTAAGATATTTAGCACAAACCACTCGCGTACAACTACCCGTACACAACTGTGATATCTGCTTACTCTCTTCACTTGAGATGCCAACGAAAAATCTCCGATAATTTTACACTTATAAATTCAATCGTTGTAAAAAATGTGTTTATGCCTATTTTAATACATGGAGAGTAATTAAATGTTAAACGGCAGAAATCACACTTATGGAAGATTGAAACAATTAAGTAATGTAATGTGAGACACATATGTACACATTTTATTGAAGGAAATTTGGCAATTCTCGAATATTTATACGGCGTTCTTCTTTAGCATGGTAGAATACGGCCCTTAGTTCTTTCATTAATGATCCGACATCGTGTCCGCTCAGTCAGTACGTGGACTAGACGTAATAAATACCGTTGAAAGAAAAAAAAATCACGATTAGAAAAAGCATAGAAACGAGGAGAGGCCCTCGTTGAAAAGCCTGAAAGCTACTGATTAGGAAAAGTTCACTCTCGTCTGGGTGTCTAATAGACACGTTTTCGGACTGTCCGGGGGCATTGGCTGAAGCGAACATGCTGATAAAGAACTCGTGGTCCTCAACTTGAGCTTGGACTCCGGGTGTGGTTAATAGCAGTGGCGTGGCGTGCTATGTGATACATCGATTGATCGGCCATTTAAACCTATGGGAAAGGATCGATAAATAGGGTGTTCGCAGCGAACACCTTACTAATCGATTCCTTACCATAGGTTTAAATGGCCGATCAATCGATACATCTCAATTCAAGCCACGCCATTGGATAGTTCCTCCTCACAGGTGGAATGTTGTATATTTAGTCGACTCTTTTGGTATATATCATATGCGGCCAAATGAGCATTTTATGCCTCGGTTTCTGACTGGACAAAGAAAATGGCTCGTGCAGACCCTGGAAAATACTTTTGAGTATTTCCTTGGTAGCATTGACTGTTAAATTTAGGCACAGAGAAACGTAAAAAATATTTTAAAATGTACGAGTCGGGGAACTCTCACTGGAAAAAAAGTCGCTTGGATCTAGAGTCCAGACTCTTGAAAACAATGACAAGAAAAAATACTCTTGATTCCATTGGAATTTTGCTCAAATCGAGAACCAATCCTCTTCATTTAAGCGGATTTCTTTTTGATCTAAGCAAAAATCCGATGGAATCAAGAGTACTTTTTCTTGTCATTGTTTTCAAGAGTCTGAACTCTAGATCCACGCGACTTTTTCCAGTGTTTTTGTTCCGTTTTAAGTAAAATTTACTTAAAATTTACGTTTAAAAACCCGTTTAAAATTTGACATAAAAGTGTGTTAAATTTCATTAAGTACATATTGACAAAATACGCATGACCAAAAAATGTAAACATTTTCTTGACATTTTTCAAAATACGGTATAAAAAATTTGTAAAGGTATGAAATGGTATTTTTACATGAAGAACAAAACAAAATGGGTTTCCTGACTCAGATATTTTAACAGCTTCTTTTTTAAAAGTGTTCCGTTTTAGAATTAACGAGTTCTTTAAATGTTTTTTTTTACGGCAACGTTTCCAGGGTTGGCTCCTCGGGCCGTTCTTTTTATACTTGAGGATACTTAAATTCTAAAGAATAAACAACATATATGACTGTCCTCCAAGAAAAATTCTTTGGACCACTAAAACTCAAAGTTAAGATAAGATATTAGAGAAAAGAGAAGAATTTCACGCTCAGCATTTTGGGACAAAAAATGTTTGAGAATGAAATGCTTGGAATGTTGTCTGAACGGCATCATATTCCTAAACGGATTTGGATCGCTTTTCTTTTGGAAGTCCTTAGCTTACGTCAGAAAACGGGAGAAGGTTGTAAAATAATGTATTTGTTTTCGGGAAATATACCAAAAGAGTATTGCTTATTTAGGAAAAAAATGTAACGTTATTTTTTTGATACAAGGCAACCCAGTAGACTAGTTAAAAATTGTGAGATGGAAAATGAAACTGCAAGCATATTGCTTTGTTTGCTGAAGCAGGCATTACATAAGTAAAGATTTAATTAAAAAGCTCTGTTGTCATTTATCTACCTTTTTTTTCATTGAGGTCTGAATTCTCGACTGCGGAAAGAGAAATTGAGTTAGGATCCACCGGCGAGATTTTTTTAAAATTATAGCATTGGCAAACCAGTGAAAAGTTTCTTTTAAAATTTTATAGCATCATGCCTCTCTGTACCTATCTATCTATTTACCCATACTGAATCAATATTGTTTCATTTTGTTCGGAAGTCCCTTCGTAGATGAGGGAAAGATAAGCGACATGAAATGTTGCTGCGCTGATTCTGGCTGAATGCGGCTTTCAATTAATCAGTGTATAATTGTAAATTGTAAATTTCAATGTACAATTGTAGTATAACTGTTAATTCAGACTCATCAAATGTCTGGGCCGATATTAACAAATGTTCGTATGTTTCGACAAAGAGCTGTCAAATTGTCATTAATCTGATCTGAATCATTACACAACGTGCTATCCTCATATTTTCTTTTTCGAAATGTTCATCACATAATTATTTACAACCATCAAAATTGTGAAAACTTTGTTTTTTTAACGAATGCTGCGGCTTTTGAGATAAATGTTCATTTTACGGCCGGAAATGATTTCAGTGACCCTAGAATGATGCATTTCTTTACACATGATTCCTATCTATAAAACAAATAATTATTTTGTGCACAAGGGAGGATTTAAAGGTGTCTGAAATTGTGTGAATTTCGTGGTTAAGAAGAAACTATTAATCGAACTGAGCATGGAAATGTCTTTGGTTTTTAAAATGAAGAATTATTGGAGGAAATATGTCCAAATTATACCTAATCTGCTAAAATACAAGTGTTTAAATAGGAAATGCCGCCTGATGACGTCACAAAGCGGCATGTATTATCTCTTTCATATCGATTTCTCTACAATTTCCCAGTTGAGAAAAAAAATATGAAAAATACTGCAAACGCAACTCATTAAGCACTCTCGGGTACAAAAATACAATTTTTATGTGCAAATTCTCCATTAGCATATGAATTAGAATTTCAATCCAAGTGAGATGTGACTCAGGGATTTCATAAAATACCTGATTTTACTGTAAGCTGCAACGCGTCCAATTTTCAATTGAGCAAAAATTAAATTTCGATAATTCTGATATTTAAAGTTCGGTTCGGCAAGGTAGAGCAAGCGGGCGGCATAGTATCTACAAATTGGCTCGCATCAGAGGCCTCTACAAAATTGCCACCGTTCTCCGGGAAACGTTTGGTCAAAATTGAGTTGAAATCCACCCTCAACCCTCTCCTGCTCGGATTGGCATTTACGTCGAGACAAAAGGTATTCAAACGTCAGAAGCCATCTAGCTTTGTCGGCGGCCGGCCGCTGCACTTTTGCTGCGCCGCACAGTGGATCGATTCAATTAGAGAGGTCGGACATGAAATTTTTGACTAAAACTGCTAATTTTGATGTTTATTTCTTCAAATTTTAAATTTTGACGGGTGATTCCTGAAGAAAATTTTACGAGACAATCAATGGGACCAAGTTTAAGGCCTCAAAATGTTGTGAAAACGGAGTTATGAACTTTTAAAGTTTCCAAATTTTGTCCGACCTCTCGCATTTACTCGATCCACCGTGCGTCGCCCAGTGAAACGAGCTTTTAAAACTAGGGAAAGAAAAGAAGAGATATATGTCGAGTCCACTCGATTGCATCAATCATCAGTTAGCCCATTAGTTACCACGTAAATCTATGTTGAATGGTGCTGTTCTCTGATGAAAAAAAATGCAAATTTTGAGGTTTATCTACTCCTAATAATAATGAATCTCAAAGGGGATCCGTCGAAGAACATTTTACGAAATAAAAAGTAGAACTACTCTCAAACGTCTACTTTTTGTATTAATGAAGATGTAGGCTTTTGCATCATGCCCAGCAGTGGCGATATTGCAAGTTGGCAACACTGATTTTCCTTCATTTAAATCAGTTAAAAATATCGATTTTACGTGAGGTAATGCGTCAACAAAAATCGATTGTATCGATTATAAAACAATGTTGCACGTCTTTTGCTTGTTTCATTGTGCTTTAAGATGGGTCCTTAAAAATTTTGCAGTCCGTACAACAAAGGTATGCGTGTAACTTTTCTATCATTTCTCCCTGTGCAATACATGTATTCAAGTAATTTACTCTACAACTTTAAATTCTGTTTCAGGAGCAAAAGAGGAAGTTATTTCACACGTCCGTCTACGAATCTGAGCTTCAACTTAAAAAGCTCTACATTCAAACCTGCAAGCGGCTCCCTGCGTTCGGCTGTAAAATCTATCAAGTGAAAGAACTTTTGAGAGGAAAGACAAAGAAAAAAGTTAGTATCTCATAAATACTGGAATCAGCTCGTAGCAACTAAAATTGAATTGGAATTTACAATTTTGAAACTAATGTCTTCTTGGAAACGAGTAACATTTGTAACTAATTTAATGTAATTTTTGTGTAACTAATTGTAATTTGTTTGTTTGAGCCTAATTCGTAACTTTGTAGAATTCTGGGTACCTAATAGAATTCGTAAACTTTTTAATAATTTTGTCTTAAATGTATGACCTAGGGATTTGATTTGAGCTTTACATTTAAATTTTTGTGGTCATATTCTTACTTTTTTCATGTCACAATGTTTGTAGCATTATTTTGTCTACGTAGTCATAAGTACACCTCTTTATTCAGAATTTTGATAGACTAAGGGTGCCCCTTTCCGCAAAAATGTCACAAATCTATTACATACACGTAGTTTAACTTCATCAAAAATTTTCGCTCTGGAACTTTCCGCTGAAGATATGTTTTTTTTTTTTTTTTTTGTATTTCAGACAGCCAGACTTCTGGGGCTTGGACCCGAACGCATCGTCCTACTAGATAATAAAACTAAAATACTAGTCAAATCTCAAAACACAGCTGATCTCTTACAGGTAATTGTCCCTATATGTTATCCGCCAACTCTGTAATGTTAAGGAAAAAAGTTAGAAACGCGGAGATCGGCAGATCTCTCCGCCAAGCCGAAACTGTAAAAACGTGTGCAACACAACTGAAAAAAAGCCTGGAATGAGATTTATATAAAACGCCTTCAAACTCCTGTGCAGCAACCACAGCCCACAGCAACAAGGGGGCAGTAAGCCGTGCCTTAAGTCGGTTGACCCTAAATATATAAACCCAAATTATTAAGAACTGCCGATTTTTCCGCACCAAAATAATAAACCCCAAATTACCTTCTTACACGAGCAGCGTTTAGCAAAAAGGAAATAAGAGACACGTTTTTTTAAAAAACTGAGTTTAGAATAGTTTTCAACTTGTCTTGAGGTTTTTTTTATATCTTTAACAAAGAACTAGATTCAAAACAGGAACTTTTGGCTCAGGCATGAATTTATACCGGACGGGTCCCTTTCGGCGGTTTTACAAGTCGCGAACTCTATTCATTTGGGCGTATTTCTGCCAAATAGAACTATGTGCGAGTGGGAAAGATGGAGTGTGCTTCAGAAATCTGCATAAGAAGCAACATTATATGGGCGTGATTCCCTTTGGAGAAATGAAAAAACGGTATTTTACATTTTATCAAACGGAACTATGTGCCAAATGAATGCGGTACTCGTAAGCCATGGGCCTGTAAGGGCGTTTTGGAAAGGATTCTTGAGTTAATGACTCCCACGTGGAAGCCACCTGCAGGCCGATTATTGAAATTTATAGACAAAGAAGACATAAGGAGTATGGAGCTATCCTATTGGTTGAAATGCATGGTTCCTATAGACTAAGGGAGAAAACGATGGACTAACTTTAGGGTCTCTCTTTGCCGTTAGTTAGTCTATTACCCACCTCCTTTGTCTATTGCAGTGGCGCAGCGTGAATGATCGATTATCGATATTTCCCCACTTGAAGCTATGGTAAAGAATCGATTATTGAGGTGTTCGATGCGAACACCCTGTTTATCGATCCTTTTCCATAGGTTCAAGCAGATCGATTGATACACGCCACGCCACAGGTCTATTGCAACCACTCGCTTCCACCAGTAGGATCCCTCCGTATCCCTTTTGGATCCTTTGTCCATAAGCATTGTCTATCAATTTCAATAATCAGCCCTTTGGTGCTTTATAATTTCCATTCATTACGGCTCTTGACTAACGAGCACGCCCCTTCTTCCCCACCTGTCTCTGCTTCCGTTTGGCGGAAATACGCCCATTTATTTGTGAGACCCATTCGACTTTGGTTTCTTTTTTGAAAATGTGTATTAACGTTAATTTGTTGGCTATAGTGGCGGACTGGCGGCGGACGATCCCACGACGGACTCCAGCTGGAGTTCCGGGCCACCCGGTGGTCACTGGTGGTGCCTTCCGTGGCCGAGCTGCGGGACCTCGGCCTCGCTCTTTGGCACATCCTTCAGGATCTCGACTCGGACTTCCTCGAGAAGTACACCATCCTCAAGCGCCGAACCCAGCAAGGTACGCATCCAACCGTGCTCACATTGGGCCAACTCCCATGAAATATCAAATTATTAATCAATTATTTATAGTCCAGCTCATAAGCCTGGACCTAGAAATTAAGTAAATTAATAACAGCTTTATATACTTCATTAGATAAGAGATCTGAGTGATCTATAATTGAAATATGAATCCAACAGCTTAGATCCTTAGTCACCTTCCATAGCCAAAATATTACAAGCGCCATGCGACGTTTAAAAATTTCTGCCGCCATTTTATTTTCCTAGAGAGAAATTTTTGGTTGGATCTGCTTGTAAATTTCACTTAATTATATCGGCAGCACAAAGAAAATTCAGTGAAATTTTCTGACAGCTTCGTTGAACAAAATCTCTGTAAAAAGATAAAATGGCGGCGGACATTTTTAAACGTCGCATGGCGCTTGTGATGCTTTGGCCGGAAGGTGACGATATGCGTTTCACGGCAACTGACCGACTGCACTGCGTTTGGCGTAATGCGAGAAGTATTCATGCAGTCATGTAGGCGCTAATACGCGGTACCCGCCGACCGCACTGCTTGGCGCAATGTGTGAAGTATTCCTACTGTCATGTAGGCGCTAATATGCGTTTAACGCTGGCCGCACTCTGTTTGGCGCGAATATTTGAACTCGCAATAGACTAATCGATACGATTATCTCAAAAATTATGGGACAAGTTTACATTTGGTCAATATTTAGGGGCTCCGAACTTGATTATAAAGGTCCATTTTTGTCACAGTTTGTTCTTCCATCCTTCCGAGTCACATTTCCTGATTTTTGCGGTAATTAATACTAAGGAAAAACGCTGTATGAACATTCGAGATTTGCCAAATTTCCTTCACTAAAGTGTCTATTTTTGAGGAAATTTATGAATATTTTCCCCTGAAATTTTCAGGAACCTCGGGTGAGATTCAGAACAAAAGTATCTGAAAAATTGGAAGGAAAACATTCATAAATTCACGGGGAAAGTCGTGTTTGGCAAAGGTTTGGCAACGCCTGAAGGTTCATACGGCGTTTTTTCTTGGCACGGCAGAACAGGAGATAGTCCCCAAAATAACCCGATTTATTTGGATTAACTCATGAAGGCCCGCGAAGAGGGCCTTAGAAGGCCTTTTTGGGGTTGGACCGCGTAACAGCCACGCTGCCGTACTAAGGAAGAACGCCGCATGAACATTCGAGAGTTGCCAAATTTTCTCCGATAATATGTTTATTTTTGAGGAAAGTCATGAATATTTTTCCGTGACGTTTTCAGAGAATTTAGATCAAATTACAAACAAAATTATCTGAGAAATTGACCGTAAAATAATCAGAAATTTTTCTACGAATTAGCGATTTGGCAAAGGAAATTTGGCAACGCCTGAAGGTTCATACGGTGTTTTTCCTTAGCACGACAGCACGGGCGTGCCCCCTAGTATTATATTTTACGGCTGGAGGCAGTGCTCCCATGACCGTCAAAAGTTCAAGGAATGTTCCGGAAAAAGCAAAAGATCCGGAATATTTCTGAGATCTCAAAAGTTCTGGGGAAAATCCAGGAAAATCTTGAAACTTCCGTAATCTGGAAGCACTGGAAAAAAACACATTGGATCTAGAGTCCAGACTCTTGAAAACATTGACAAGAAAAAATACTCTTGATTCAATCGGATTTTTGCTTGAATCAAAACGAAATCCGCTTAAATTAAGAGGCTTGGTTCTTGACTTAAGCTACATTCTGATTGAATCAAGAGTACTTTTTCCTGTCGATGTTTTTAAGAGGCTGGACTCTAGATCCAATGTGTTTTTTTCCATTGAGTAGTTCCGGGAAATGAAAGCACTGGCTAGAGGATATCTTTGAGAGTGTAATTTGCAGATTTTTTGTGAGATTGGCTAGGTGTGGCGTAATGGTGAGTGTTTTTGGTGTGGTGTTCTAGAGGTAGTGCACAGCGATGAACTGGAGGCGGTGACGAAGCTGCTGCACTTTCCGGAGGAGGTGGCGCTCATGCTCACGGAGACGGAGCTGCGGCTCTTCAACCACGTGCCCCCGATCGACTACCTCCGCCAGGTCACCCTCAGCCTCGGCCACCAGTTCAACACCGTCAACCAGACCTCCGTCCGCTCCCTCGTCAACCGATTCAACGAGGTAACAACCCCTAATCTAGTCTCCTATCGTCACAGTTCAACGCACTCTCCTCGAAATGACTCGTAGGATACAAATAGGCGAAGAATATACTTTGCCGTGATAGCGAAGAGAGCCGTAAGTGCAAGAATGAAGTTTTGAGAAAATGGGCTTAGAAGCTTCCGAGTCGAATATTTTATTAAAAGAAGCCTCCGTTCTTTGTCGAATCGCAATCAATCATTCGATAGACTCTTAGAAATCATTTGGGGGATTAAAACTCGACCGATTTTATTTTAAAGTACATGAAAAAGGTGAAATTCAGTTTCATGTTAGGTTAGTATTTGGCAAGACAGCCGTAAGTGCTATCTTCTGCGTGCTTTTGTGGTAGCGTGTTGGACACACAACACACACATTTTCAGGTTAGAAATCGGCAGATGAGGGCGGCATTCCTCTTGAAAGCACTGTCTTCATTGGCTCTCATGCACTTACGACTGTCTTGAAAAAAACTATGTCATTTTTTGTGCATTTACGGCTTTTTCATACGTCTCGTTTTCATTAAATTAGGATGAATTTTGCTGTTTTAGCTGTCTCAGTAATTTCATCTAAAAGAGCTTAGACGAATTTTGAAGAAAACTCGATTTCGAAAATTTTGCGCTGACGGCTCTCTTCGCTAGCACGGCAGACAGTTCAACGTACTCTCCTCGAAATGACTCGTAGGAATACGCGTAAGAAAAATCGCCAATTTTAAACGCCCCAGTTTCGCGCCAAACCGAATGATGTCATCCGGCACCAATCATATTGCACGATTAAAGGACCATAATAAGGTCTCGTATTTTCGGTTATGACGCTCTCTTTCGGAACTTAATAACTGGCGAAAACATGTACCTCTCGCCGAACATTTTCCTTTCCTTTTTACGTTTTTTTCACGTATATAAAAAAAGCAAAAAAGAAAAACTGAGTATTCAATGGATAAAAAAGAAAAGTGGGAAAAAGGAAAAAATTCAAAACGATTTGATCTCCAGAGCTCTCACTCTCACAAATAAACACTCCTTAATCAGTCATAAGGCCTCGGTTAGAAGATGCTTCGACGGGCAAAAGCAAAAAAGGTTTGGGTTCAGCCTAACTTTTTAAAGTGACGAAGTCATTTTTCTTTCCTCCAGGTGAGCTCATGGGTGACACACCTTATCATCACACAACCAACCCACGAGGACCGGAAGGCCGTATTGTCGTGTATAATGAGGGTAGCTTTAACCTGCTGGAACACTGGCAACTTCAATACGGCCATGGAAATCGTCGCTGGCCTCAAGTAAGTCGCCTATACTTTACGTAAGATCTTCCTCGTTTTTTTTAAATTTGTTTACTGTTTCCTCTTCTTTATTAAATTATCGCCTATCTTGGGGCCACCTGAACCTGCTATTCTCTTTTTGTTCTGTATTACCTACTCATTCTGTAATTTCTCTGTAAACCGACTCTACTCCAGAAACGTCGTTTTCCTGTCTTGAAAATATTTCTCGTTTATTCTTTACTCTTTGCTCAATATTGTACATCTCTCTCCTGTAATCTCTTTGTATTCAAAAAAGAAAAAGGTCACGATTAAAAAATAAAAAACAAATTGTCGCTTACGAAATTACCAATTTTTTTTAAAAAAAAATCATCATTTAATTATTAAGAACATTGTAGTGGTAGTTAACTATGTAAATCGACGGTGTAAGTCGGCAATCACATAACTCGGTTAGCGACGTCGCAGACTTCCTATCATACTTTATTTTTTAAACGGAAAACTACTCAACGGGAATTCTTTAAAACTGCCGTGATTTTTCTTCTATGTGCGGAGAAATTTCTGCAAAAACTTCAAGGGATGATGTCAATTTGTTCTATTTTAAAAAAGTACCATGGAGGCGGAGATTTTCAGACACCGCAAATGAGATATGTGATTGCGGACCTACGCCGTCGAAATAGTTCTCTAAGGTGCTGTCTTTGTCAGCCAACCCCCGGTTGTGCAGCTGAACATTCATAGAAATTATTATTATGTTGATTTGCCGTGAAGGCATGGAAACGGTCAGAATTCTGGTGATGCACTGAAGCACTCGTTTGTCTTTACTGCCATACCAGGGGATATGATCCGGGATTTTTCAACGCACCAGCCTTTCCTCAACTCTCCACTCGAATCTTCAGAAAAAAAAGAACGATTTCAAAGGCAGGGGTTTCATTCGGCCTCCAGCCTAATTGAGATGTTGTAGGCCGGCGGAAACTACTTGCTTTTGTTATCAATATTCTTCGCTACATGCAACCGGAGCGTCTATCGACGGAAGTGTCCATCTTGTATGCGTCCATCCACAGTTTGACGATCTCCTGTAGAAAACATATATTCATTAAATATAAATGCCGATTTACACCTATTAACGTGTTATTTCTTTGCATTTCTGTGTGGGTTTTTTAAGAAAAAATATATATTTATGGTCTCTCTTACTCACACATAAAAAACCCTAGGCTTTACAGCTTGTTTTCAAGTAAAAAATGTTGAGACTCTAAGAATTAATGTTGATCGTTTAGAAGAAAAGTGTAGGTTATCGATAGAGGAGCAAGTTGTCAAGTATAGTGTAGGTCATATTATCTTTGTAAACATATTTTTTGGTGAAATGAAACTTTTGTAAAAATGTTCAGTTTTCAACACCTGAAAAAGCATGGATTTCACAAAAAATGAGAAACTACCCATGTGTTGTGATGTGGGGTCTCTTATCTTGTCCGGTATTCTGTCGTCATATATGCATGTAGGTAATCTGTTGATGTTATACTATTGTTATATTCCGCTTAACAATTTTCAATTGCAATATTGTTTTTTCAGAACATATTATGTATCTAATTCTGATGTTAAAGTTGCCAAGAGTTAGATCCGCCCTTTGAAAATTTTACAATTCGTTCGTAAAATCCAATGAGCTATTTTCAAAAGATGTGTTGCAGTTTGCTAGGCGTTTTGCCAGTTCCTAACATATCGTTTTAACATTTTATTTGGATTTTGTAAATGAAGTGCTTCATCCTGGAATTAAAATTTACTTTAATTTTATGAACAACGCTATTTACGTCTCATTACTATATGAAAAATCAATTTGTAGTTTAATTTAAAACACAGCTGTACCTCGGATTAGAAGAGCAGATTTTCTGACACATGAATTTTATTATTTTGTTTGTTTGTTTTTTAAGACTAATAATCACCAGTTTTCTCGAATTTTTTTTTTTTATCGTTCTTGTCTGTGCAAAACTTTTTTTATGTGTAAAATTTTCAGATTGTAAAATGCATCTGTCTTCGTCTACAAAAATATAACGCATAGATTGTGAAACATAGCAGTCAAGACCCTTGGTTTTGAAACATCACTGATGTACCTGGCATGTCTGAATTTAGCTTAACCTAGTTTACCCGAAATTTCAATCAGGAACTTTCAAGAGTTTTTATGTGAGATAATGCGTATTTTAAGGAAAAATATTCACAACTCTTCAAAAATAGATATTTTCTGAGAGGAAATTTGGCAACGTCTGAAGGCTCATGCGGCGTTCTTTCTTAGCATGGCAGTTACGTACAGTAGCAGCGCAACATTTAAAGAACTACGGGGAATTTTCCGATATCCCTCAGGTACTTCTCTGTTCCCCATCCCATTTCTGGTATTTGACTTCCCAAGAAACTTTTGACCCCTGTATATTCCGCCATGCTGAAGAAAAACGTCGTATGAACCTTGAGACGTTGCCAAATTGCCTTTGATAAAACACAAAATTCCTGGTAAACTTAAGAATATCTGTCTTCCAAATTTTCAGATAAATTTGTCCGCAATTTCACCAAACGTTCCTGGAAATTTCAAGGAAAGTTGTCCATAACTTGCCTCATAAATAAGTATATTCTGAGAGGAAATTTGGCAACTCTAGAATATTCATACGGCGCTCTTTCTTAGCGTGGCAGTATTGAGCTACACGCTAAATCGAGTCAATCAGAGAGGTCGGACATGAAATTTTTTACAAAAACTGCAAATTATGATGTTTATTTCCCCACATTTTAAATTTTAAGGGGTGCTTCAAGAAGAAAATTTCACGAGGAGACCAATGAAACCACTTTTAGAACCTCACAATTTTGTATATTCGGAGTTATAAGCTTTTAAAGTTTCCAAATTTTGACCGACCTATCCTATTGTCTCGAGCCACCGTAAGCCGCGTGTATTTCCCCTCGTTTATGGTAATACTTATTTTTGCAGATCGGACAAACTGAGGCCGTTCTGGTTGTCGGTGAGTGACAAGGGATCGCCGCCAGTTCTAGAGTTCCTATCAACAAGCTTGCTCTCGGTGGAGTATGAGCGCGCCCTAAACCGGGCGTTGGCCATCCCTGAATGCAAAGTCATCCCTTATTTCGGGGCTTTCCTCAAAGAACTGCGAGAGGCCCTCGCCTCCACACCCAGTCTCATCGCCTTGGCACCCGACGGAGATCAGACACGGCTAGAGGTAACCCTCACTCTAAGCGACTATTTAGTGAGGATAGAAAGTAATTTTATACAGGGTGAATCCTGGTGTTGGGTTCGTCCACAGCTGCATGCCTTTTTTGCGACCTTGGAGTTTTATCTGGTAACATTGCATGGTGTCAACGATCACGGTTAGGTGTCAACAAACAGAAAAATATCTTCCTTATACGTAAATTTAAAAAACTAAGTGCACAGGAGAGGTTTGGGTCTCGTATAGTTAGATTAGGTAGGTTCGTTTAGGCCAAGACATGTACGGTTGGATTGGATGGGTAATGTGATTAGGTTAGGTTAGGCTAGGTTAGGTTAGGTTAGGAATAACACGAAAAAAACAAGACTTGAAATTTGAAATGTGTAATAGAGGGAACTTTTAAGTTTCGTCGACGTCGTGATCGTTGACACCGTGATCATCTTTCATAAGAGTCAGAATTTTTTATTTTTGGATGATCATGCTGCCAACAAAAACGTAGAAAAACTGTTTGTTGACACTGTAATTGTTGACAACATGCTAAGTAATCTTTTATCCAAATATACTTAAAGAGAGACCCTTGATTGGTATCGTGACAATGGTGAAAGTTTTTCCTCTCAGGACTCCAGAATCCAACTATTTAGGGGATGATCACCCCCTAGCCCCTGAGCTACTCCGTATCTGATCACAGTTGGGGAATAATTGGAAAATACGGGGGGAAAAGGGGCCGTGGGGAAACCGAAAAAAGAGAAAAGTAGAGAGCAAAATAACTTGAAAAGGAAAAAAATTCGTTTATGAAAATGGCTAATTTTACCTGCCAACGTAATTTTTGGCATAATAATTTTTGATATCGTAGGATTTTACTTTAGTATTTTTTTTCAATAAAAAATGAACTAAAATTAAATTAATTACTTCACTATTTTGTTTTAGAACGTTGAATGACCATTCTAATATTTTTTATTTGTTTCTTCCTCAAAACAGTTTATCTCCGATTATAACGGCGAAGACCACTTCTTTTCTCGTATCGGTCCAGGCGGCCTCATCAATCTGGACAAAGTGTACAAAATCCAAGCCACCATGGACCGAATCGCAGCCTTTCATCAGCACTTTCACGACAGTGAGTTGGAGCGAAGGTAAGAGTGTGGTGAGTCATTCAAAGTGTGGTTTCAAGATCTCAGAAATTAAGTAATTCATATTATTGAGTCTTGAAGTCAAAGTAAATGTTTTATCAGCTCAGGAAGTAGAAAAAGAATCATGCTAGAAAATGAACGTGTTTGAATGAATTAATGATCAGTTAAAAATGGTATCACTTGTGGAATTTCTCTGTGTAACTACGTCCAGCTTTGAAAAAGAAAAGAAAAAAGAAAAGAAAAAAAGAGAAAAAAAATGAAAATTTTTTGAGAAATAATTTAGAGTAAGCCGTATTGTTTGCATTTTTCTGTTTAAAAAAAAAAAAAAAAAAAAAAAAAAAAAAAAAAAAAAAATTCGACCATATCTACTTTTAATCTATTTACAGCGGGAGACCTCTCAAAAGTGATACACTGCCACATGGGATTGAAGATCCAATGGCGGAAACGGACAACTATTGGCCAGTTCAGCCACTAAACAATGATCACGGAGTCAGTTTCATCCCTACCATCACTTTAAATCACCATGTTCTGCAGGTAAGTCAGTGTTAATCACATCATTTTGGGTGACGATCCACAGATGATAGTCCCCCATCAAAAATCATGCTGAGGTCACTTTGAAGGCTCTTTAATGCAGCGGACGGTGAGGCGTGCGTGTTCGGACTGAGCGCAAATTCGAATTTTGCGCACTGTAGAGTCTCTAATGCAAAAGCCAATCATAGATCAGGACTGCTGAAGGTTACCTCCTCTTCTCACCATTTGCGCGGGAAACTGTTTTGATTATTACCTGTCTAACCTGAAAATCCACCTTAATAATCTCGGGATGATAGTCCTCCATATTACGCGGAAGTCTGTTCACTTTGAAACTTCTTAAATGCAGTGCACGGTGCGACGCGTGTGTATTAAAAAGAGCGCAAATTCGAATTTCGCGCTTCCACCTTAAGTCTCTTAAGTCACAAATGCAAGAGCCAATCGGAGATCAGGATTGCTGAAGGTTACGCCCACCTCTGACTATTTGCGCGGGAAACTGTTTTTTGTTTACGTCTAACCTCAAAATACACCTGCTGTGCCTTCTCCCTAATTTCCATTATGTTCCATTGTAAGCTAGAGAATGATTAAAATCAGAATGTCATTAGTTGTTCCTGCAATAAGTTTCTCATTCGTATCTTGTGACTTCGCAGACATGTCTTTTGCTAAGTGTTCTTCCACTGGCTGTGTTAAATCATTGTCACTGAAATCGTGTGGCAAGTTATGCTTCGTCCCTCTTTTTTCCTTCCTCTCCACAATCACTACCTTCGCACTGTATAGGTGCATAGATATCCTGGAGACAAGGTACGTGGGCCTTCCTTCGATGTATTTTGACTGGTTATAAATTGTGTTCACCGTCTGGTACACTAATAATTAATCAGAATTGTCTGTCTCTTCACCGAAGAGTGATGAAACGTTTTACAATTTTGGAGTAGAGACCTTACCTACTTGTGTATACTCCTATGGCTCTCCAGGTACCCATTCTTAATTACATTCTGAACAGTCTAATTATATGTGTTTGAGGTTTGATTCAAGCTTTGTCTCAAAATTTCATCTTATATCATCCTTGTTGGAGATTTGTGCACGCTCAACGCCTCTTGAGGGCTCCCTATTTTTATCTGCAGTCTTTCCTAATAGCCTTTTCAAACCTCACAGATCCTCCACCATGGAACAACAATGGTTCACTGGGAGTCTGAGGGAAGCCGGAGTGCTCTGGTGTATGTCCGTGTGGAAAGGAGTTGCGTGACATTAACTTGGAATAAGCCAGCATGGAGCGGATTTAAAACTGGAACAAACTCAGAGTTTTCGTTGTTTGTAAATCCAGAGGAAATGGTGTCGCCTGGACTTGCATGTAAATGGGCTGGAGATATTGTCAGTTTAGGCCTCGAAGAAGGGTGAGTTGTCAACACATAATAACTTTTGGATTAAAAATCCTTTTTTATTGATTGAATCTCTCAGTTAGGAAACAATGCACTTTGGAAAACTGAAATTTTTCAGGAGACAATAGAAACTGTGTAATAGCTAGAAAAGGATTGTTTCATGCCAAAAATGAATAATGTAATAAACCTGATCGGAGGGTCGTTTTTGAACTGAGAAATTCAATTTCAAACAGACTAAGAAATTTCTCTGAATTGATCGCTTCTCACTTAGGTAAGTAATGATGTCAACCATGAAATCTGTCAATTGTGCTTTGTCTGATCTTATTCTGAAGAGATGGAAGTGAACTTTTCAGTGATAACTGAAAAGGCTGGTATCTCTTTTTTAGAGTGCCGAATGAGTAGAGCACCTTTAAAGGTAGAGCAGGTATTGCCATCTGGCCCCTTCACTTTCCCTTGGAGGCTGTAGGACCTAAAAATGGCTGCGAAATTGGGTTGGAGGGGAGTTATTGCCTACCTTTGACAGTCACTTGCAGTCATTCATCCCACATAATTGAACGCAACGGCAAAGCCGATTTATTTGGAGTTATCTTTACTTCCAAGTCTTCAAATTTTATGTTATCCGTTGCTTTCTAGTAGGACCATTCAAAAGATTGATGATTCTTTCTTTTGTGTTGAAGACTTCTGAAATGAGGAACAAAGTTGTCCATGCATCATACTTTTGGCTCTCAATGTAGATGGTCAGAGAATTGGAGTACACAAAAAAAAGAAAATGTCCACTTTTAAAGCGGTTTTTTACCTAAAAAATGTTTTACTCAGTTTGTCTTAGAAAATCTAAAAATGTTTTTAAAAACCTTGAATGCCCTCGAATTTACCGTTAATCACCCCTAAAATTTGTCTAAAAAGTCTTAAAAATCATTCAATTTTTGAAACTTTTATCATGAGCCCTTTTACTCATGATATCATGAGTTAATTATTAGATTGATTTTGCACTTTCTCCCTAAATTAATCCAGTGACCTTATACACAAAGAATTAATATGTATCTTTGTTCTAATTGGTCCTTCTACAGTTTTCTTGATCTCTCTTCTGTAAAAGAGATAAGTTATGGCGGCCGAGAAAGGGACCGCGACCCAGACCTGGCCTCAGCTTTGAAACGATTCGGACTAGAGAAGTACACTAACCTTGAATGCTGCCTGACACTAGTCTATGGCACAAACCTGAGTGATAACAGAGTTTTGTTCCTACTTTTACCTCCTCGACTCTGCAGGTTAGTAGCACTTTTCACACTCACATTTACATAGCAAGCATTCCTTTTGCACCAGAGCCAAAACCTCACAAGAAAATTTAAAATAAACGTATCAAAAACTCCCTCGTAAGGTCAAAATTAATGTGTCAGACACATTTCTGGCTCTAACTAAGCGGCATAGCAACTGATACTTGTGCCTGCTTCTGCTCTCTAAGCTCTATTGCTTTCCTAACTGTCACAAACAACAACAACACAAACAACTGTGGATTTAGTCATGCTACTCAAAGAGAATGTGTTAACAATTTAGCTGAATACATTTTCGCAAATCCCTATTCACCCAGATTTCAATTATTAAAGATACATCGACGGTGTAAGTCGGCAATCACATAACTCGTTTGCGGTGTCTGAAAATCTCCGCCTCTATGTTTTTTTTTTTAAAGAGAACAAATTGACATCATTCCTTGAAGTTTATGCAGAATTTTCTTTGCACAGAGAAGAAAAATCACAGAAGTTTTAAAGAATTGCCGTTGAGTAATTTTCCCTTTAAAAAATAACGTATGACGGGAAGTCTGCGACGTCGCAAACCGAGTTATGTGATTGCCGACTTGCACCGTCGACATGAGTTATTTTCTTGTTTTCAAATAGTCAGCCTTTGCTGAATTAAACATAACAATTGAGATACCCATTTTTCGTGAAATTTCATGATGTGAAATTTTAGAATGGACTAGCATACGGAAGGTTGTAATCTCAAGGTACCCGCTCTCTTTGAATTTTCTAAACTTTTCCCAAAACTTTTCTTCAGGTTGTGGTATCATGGACTGTCTTGCATAGTGCGGTGCATCAAAGCTCAATCCAACTACATTGACCGACGACTAATCTGGCTCAAAGAACAGTACCTCCAACTTTACTTCGAACGAGCATGCACAGGACCGTTAACAGCAGATGCCATTAAGGTAAGTGAGCCAAGAGTGTATAACTTCTGAGGAATATGTACCTGAAAACATTACTAGCACTAGCATATTGTTATGAAATTTTAAATTTTCCAGCAAGTACCATCCAGTTGCAAAACCATTGATCCTAAGATAATATTGTTAAATTATGAGACAGGTATAAAATTTTCTTAACAAGTCTGAGAGCATGCATTGAGAATCCCTTCCATTATGGCCTCAGTTTTAAGAGATTCCCTTGAGCCCAGGAGTTTGTTTCACAGATAACCAATGATATCATTGTCTTTCTCGCAAAATTTTGCATAAAATTATGTACTTTCATTGAAAATTTCTGATGCATGCAAGTTCGTTTTTCTTGTCATGGGTATTAGGCACTAAATCCTTGGATTAACTGGCATATTATCCTTTTTCAGTTCTTGAAGTTGTATAGAACACAAGCATGTGTGAAACAAAGCCCCACTTGAAACTAAATTTCTTTGATATTCTCTCTAATATTGTTGGTGTCAATTTTCAGATTTTCGGTGGTCGAGACTGGTCTGTAGCTGCAAACATCGCAAATGCCTCACCCCAAGAAAGTGGGGGTTTTAAAAGAGGTGCCTCAATAAAGTTTCGGAAAAAAAGGTCTATCGGAAACATTCAAGCTCTTAAGGTGCGTCCCTCCGTTACCGAAACACTCTCTAAAACTAGCCATGGCTAAAGTCGCAAAATGTATATCTCAGATTGCAACGTCATAATTTTCTGCAAATGTTTTATTCTATCAAAAGAAAACTAATCAACAGTTTCAATTGAAATATGGTGTAAATTTTTGAAATTCAGTCAAAAGAAATCGCGAGAAAGCATTTTTATCAGTATTCCTTGAAGAAAATAAAACTTAATCGGAGATTTTTAAACATTATAATTGAGATACCCATTTTTTGTAGTTAGCCATCAATATATGAAATAACTAATCTTAAGTAATACTAAGTTATGAAAGTACTATTCAAGGTTAGTATAATCTCAAGTGGAAAAAACTGAAGCAGGTAGCAGTGGAGTTCTTGCACAATAATACTTATGACTCTTAACCCTCTATGGCTTAGCATCACGAATTCATAACAATGTATTTTTTGGGTTTTTAAAAACTGAATCTTTCCTCTGTGACATGATTTTGCAAATTTTTACTAGTCTTTTCTCTTTTGGAATACCTGATTTCCAAAAATTTCAAATTTTGAAAAAAAAAATTGGTGCTCTATATTTTTTATGTAAGCTACAAAATAGATCCGTGTCTACCGGAATCTGAGATCCAAACTCAATTCATGCTACATAGAGAGTTGAACAAATTAGTCAAGCCCACTATGATATAGATCAACTTTTAAATGAATTTATTACTGTATTTGGTTTTTAGATGGACTTTGTAAGCAAACCAGCAGATATTTGTGAGATGACAACACAAAGATGGCCGCACACAACATCAGGTGCTCTCTCATTATCAAGATCTCATTCAATTGGCAGCGACACAGACACATACACATCAAACGACCCACAAGATAAAGTCAGCCCCTCTCACCCTCAGAAGTAAGACACTTTCCAGCTGAAAACATACCTTAGTTTTGTTTTCTTCCATCTATGCGCTCTGATTATATGCTCTAGCTTTCAATTTAAAAGTTTTCAAGATAATTTCAACATTCCTAAATTTTAGGGGCGCAGCAAATTTTTGAGTTTGCATTTGATAAAATTTCTATAAATTGATGACTATTTCTTTATAAATGTAGGTAATGCTAGTCTCAGAATTGTATTTTGATGGTTTCAGCTCATAGATTAGCAAAAATCAATTAGATCTTTTATGACATTGACTTGTGCGGAGAAAGGAACTGTTAAATAAGTATGTCATCCTGTGAAAAAGCATAAACGCGATCAGAACATGTTAAAGTGAATAAAATTTAAAAAATTGTGTTCTGAAGGAACGTGTGTTGGAGCACAGTAGGCTCAATTCTCAGCCATCAGTAAAATTTTAGCAAACACTTATTAGTGTTATGTCATTGTTGTTATGAGCAGGAACTGGTATCTACACTCTTGTTTTTAATTTTTCTCTCTACTTTATTTCAGGGACAAAACAAAAACAGATTTTGCTCGACAAATGAAACATTTCCATCACGGCTCTATCACTCATGAATCTCAGCTTAAATTCACAGATTTTGTGACGCTCTTTCAATCTTTCAGGTAAGCAAAGGATAATTTTTCTTGTACTAGCACTAAACAAGGTACCGATTTAAGCATTCTGATATATGATACCTCTTCAAAGCACATGGAACACAATTTGAACCACAACAATTACTGAAATTAATTCCTAACCAAGATATTAACGTTTCATTTAGCATTGGTATCGAAAAATTGAAATTTCCTGCTCGTAGGTAAGACCAGAGTCAACAAGAATCGAATCATGCACTATAACAGTTTTGACAGGCTTCTCAAGAAGCAGTGATCCCTCTCCACCCTGTGTTGTTATGAGTGTAAACAATGCACAATAACTAAACCAAAACACTGATTTTAAGGATGTCATATTTTCATTCTGCAGAGACTGTCATGGTATTCAGCGTGAGATTTAACTCAAGTAGAATATGGTATTTATATAAGTGGAAAGTTAGAATTTATGCATCAAAGAACGTTAGTATCTTTGTTAGGAGTTACTTTCAGTCATTTTTTCTGTGCAAATCGTGTATTACGTAAAATTCTGACAAGAAAGTATAAATTACATTGCTTAAATTTGCGTCTTGTCAAATGGTACATTAGATGACGAGTAACTGTATTAGGTACATAAAAGGTTACAAGTGACCCCAGCGGGGATGACACCTTTCCAAGGGGTAACTCTCATGACTATTGTTGGTGCCAATCTGAAATATTAATTTTTTAATGCAGTTTAGGATCAAGATTTTAGTGCAATGTAGAATTAGTAACTTCATAACTGAAAAAATTAAACACTAAGAAGTGGCCTGAACTGTATGTAACAAGGTGGAGAAATGGTGCTGGGTCCACACCATTTTGCGGGGAAACAAAGCCAAGAAATACCAAAAATTAAAATTTGAGTCAAAAATAAATTTTTAGAACTCTAATGCGCAACAGTAGGAAACTGAGGGAGGAGAGTGTTCAGCTCAGGAAGTTTGCAATGGAATATTAAAAATAATGGAATATTAAAATTTTTTTTAACTCTAATTTTAATTTTTGGTATTTCTTGGCTTTGTTTCCCCGCGAAATGGTGTGGACCCAGCACCATTTCTCCACCTTGTAACTTTATAACTTTAATATAAATATGTAACGATTTTTTAATTTTTTTTCTCTGCACAGTGTCCAGACGCGAAAGGACATCAGAGACCTGTTCGAGCAACTTGCAGTCTCTTGCAGGAGTTTATCAGATAGCTCTTTAAATAATAATTCCGCAGCGATGGAACCAGTGAATAACAAGCTTCAGAAGATTGGTAAGTTTCCCCTTTGCTAATTCTGGGAAACTAATGAATAAAAAATCTTTCCTCTTTACTTTAAATCTGTTTCAAGTGTTTCCAATTCTCAGGGGCTGTTCATAAAATTCTTAAAACTAAATTTCGGATTTATGACCCTCCTTTCCAGCTCCTACTCTGATGAGTCAAAAATTATCATTATAACTCGGATGTAGAAAATCGACAGGTTTCAAGTCTTGTGCCTGTACAACAAAATCCTTGCCATCATAACTGATGGTTTCGGTGACTCTTCCCTTCTTTTAAATTTTAAACACTCCTTATTTCTTTCAAATACACAAAAAAAAAAACAAAAGGAGGATGAATATTAATCAACAGGATTTAAAAAAAATAATTTTTATTCAAGGTTTCTCTTAACTAACTCAGCGCCACGTTTTGCGTAATTTTAATCTCGAGTTAGATAAATTAGATTAATAAAACCTACAATTATAAAAGAGATCGCGATATATACCGTTGTTATTAGCATTTGTTTTATTTAATTTGTAATCCTTTCAATTAGAAGTTACATGTACTTTTATGTACTAATAAAACTAAGAAGTAGCTTTGTTTATATCAAACAATTAATTATATCCCTCATCATAAGTAATAAGGATGTCAATGTTTTTTCGTTCTTTTTCTTAGGTCTCCTGACAAGAAACAGCTCTGTCGATTTGATGGAGTACCGCAACACCTCGACCCTCCGAAGGAAGCAGATTTTCGATGCTATTGCCGCATCCAGTATTGTCCTAAATTGTGCTGGTGTGGATACATCAAAATCTCAAGTTATCACGCTCAACAACTTTACGAAATTTCTGGAAACCCAGCAAATGGAGCAACGCTCTGAGGCGGAAATTAGAGAGATCATTCAGGTTTGTTAGTCCACAAGATGGAACATTTTCTCCATCTAAAACATCTAGATTTTTTTATTATCAAAACTTTTATCACTTCTCAATTTCAGTCGTTTAGAATACTTTTAATTTCCATCAGTGCAATCAATACAATATAATATCCCAATTTAAACTCATTAAAATAGAGGATTACACATTCTAGGAAAATTCTAAAAACTTGAAAATCCTATGTGTTTTGCTTTATGAAGATGAAATTGAGGAAATAGACTTTGAGAAAAACTGGAAAATCAAGTGGAACTGGAAAATCACTGAAAGCTCAATTTAAGAACTGAATACGACAGGAAGTCTGCAATGTGGCAAACCATTGTACGTGGTTCGGGAGTTTCCTCGTCAATATGAGGCTTTTTTATCCTTTACATAAAATAAGTACTGCACATCCCTATCTGATCGTGATGATCTAAAAATTAACACTAGATTCAAAAATTTCAGCTGTAGATTAAAAGGGACTAAATGGGAGGTTAGACGTATTGAGAAATATTTTCACAGCAATAAATTTAAGCTAATTTAAGAAAAACATCAAGTTAATTTCTTTTTTCTTTTTGAGATAAGCATCAATTTGTCCTGTTCCTCCCCGTTTCTTTATTTGCACCGACTTTTGTTGTACAGAGGCATGAACCAGACGCTGGCCTGCGCTCTCAAAATTGTCTCTCGTTTGAAGGCTTTGCTCGCTATCTAATGGACAAGGAGAACTATGCATTTGCTAGTGAGAAAATCTATCCCGATGATGGAGAAATGGACATGCCTTTATCGAGATATTTCATTGCTTCTTCCCACAACACATACCTCACTGGACACCAGCTCAAAGGAGAGTCCTCTGTTGATCTGTATAGTCAGGTAAGATAAAAACTCTCCAGAGTCAAAATTCCAGATTACCCAAATTTTTATTGTGATGCTTGTTTTTTTTTTACAAATACATACATATAAGTCGCTTTACAGCGCTCCCTCGCGCTCTACGACTCCTAACCTCCACTGCTCTCTTTCAAACCACAAATCTTGGGGCATTGAGCACCTTAACATTTCCGCTTCAATCCCTTCCCTCCAACCTTTCATTGGGCGCCCTCTGCGTCTTCTCCCAGGAGGAACCCAATCGAGGACCTTCTTCGGCAACCTGTCTCCTGCCATTCTCTGGACATGACCATACCAAATGAGTTGTTTTGTCATAATGTCATGCACGATGGTCTGCTTGGCATCTATGATCTCCCGTACTGTCTCATTCCTGATACGATCCTTTCTGGAAATACCAGCGGATCTACGCCAGAAGTCCATCTCTGTTGCCTCTAAAACCTCCCGGGTCCGCTGTTTCATCGGCCATTTTTTACAAATTAACTTTAAAATAAAGTGGCTCAGAGATTGTTCATACCTCTTGCTTGTACACTGCATAATAATATTCAAACAATTTTGTCGTCCTTGTTTAGGTACTTTTAACAGGTTGCAGATGTGTTGAGCTGGATTGTTACGATGGCGATGATGGTTCTCCGATTATCTACCACGGCCATACATTCACCACCAAAATACCATTTAGGTCTGTTGTTGAAGCAATCAACCGTAGCGCTTTCATTACCTCACCGTACCCTGTGATATTATCAATTGAAAATCACTGTTCTCTTCAGCAGCAAACCCGAATGGCTAATATCTTCCAGGTAAATATCTTAGAAATTAATTTCAAATTTCTGCGGAAGGTATGCAGAAGTCCTCAGATTCCGATAAAATATTCACAAAGCCTCCTACAGGCTTTAATATTTCTGTACTGTGCACAATCTTAGACACTGCTTTCAGAACTTCAAGAAATCCTCAATGAATCATCGAACATTAACCAAGACTGTGCAAATAGGAACTTTCTTAGAAACGCAGCAGATATTTAATCATTTGCAAAAATAAGGAAGGCTAATTTAAAACAGCAACTATTTGTTGATAGCATAATAATTTTTGGGAATTGGGATAAGCACCAATAGTATTAGTGTGACCTTCCCCTCATAAAGAGAAAGAAGAAGGAAAAAAATAACATAGACTTTTTAAAACATCATGGAATAAAAAAACTGATAAATTGGGAATTTCATTTTTCAGAACGTCTTCGGGGAAAAACTAGTGACAAAGTTCATCTTTGAGGCTGACTTCAGTGATGAGCCACAGCTTCCATCACCAGCGCAGCTCCAGTATCGCATTTTGATCAAGAACAAAAAGCTCATATCAGAGGTCGGCACCTGGCCCATCATGCGAGCGTCCCGCGTCAAAGGCCGGCCGCATCACCTTCCCGGAGCAGGGCGGGCCAACTCGATGATCTCCAATGCCAGCGGGTCTGTCAATGATGACTACAGTGATGATGACGACGATGATGATGATGATGACGATGACGATGATGATGACGATGATGATGATGACGACGATGATGATACTCTAGATAGTAAGGGACCATCTTTCGTAATCTATCCACTTCAGTTTGTATGTCATGAGAGGTTATCATAATTGCACTCTGCTGTTAAATGCAAATCTTTGACTTAGTTTTGTAGTCAGATTCTCTAAGCATTTCTCTTGTTTCTGTCGGAAATTATAGATAATTTGGGCAAATATTTATTGTACGATCGAAAATTATTTATTTATATATTGTTCATCATTACTTTTATTCTTTTAGAAACATTTACATAGAACTCAAAAACTCTTCACTTTGACTTTGTTTGGTAGTCAGATTTTCTCAACGTTTCTCTTGTTTCTGCTGGAAATTATAGATAAGTTTAGTAAATAATTAACGCACGATTGAAAACACTCATTTATAATTTATTCTTCGATAAATTAAATTTTTAACTCACATTTTCGTTGACAAACCGGAACAGCTTGTAGCTGATAAGCAAAGGTTCTCTTTCAGCAAACTTTTGCCAGCAAATTTGATATATTTATGAAAAAAAACTTTATTTTTGAAGAAAATTTGTGATTTGGAGGTGTGAACCTAAAATTTCTATACCCAAAAAATCCTCAATCAAGTAGGTATGATTAAACTTAAAGGAGATCCCCAAACTCAAGAAAAATTTCAAAGCAGCGCTAATGGGCCTCTAGATAAAGTGTGAATTTAAGCACTACGGAAAATCTCCCCAAAATTTTGCAAGAAAAACAAATTACACAATGCAAAGTTTGGAACTCAGCTCCTGGACAAGGTATAATTGTACACTATTAATATTGATAAAATGACCAAAATAAAAATGATGTCTCTTGTATGATTTAGCTTTCATTTTATGTCGAAAAATAATCTCGTTCACGTGTAGATTTATTATTTTCCCATTATGTGATTAATTTTGTGCCCATAAATTTGAAGAGAAAAGATTTTGCTTTTTTTCAGTCCAGAAAAATTGCCAATTTTCATCCTGTATAGCATCTTATATTTTCAAATTTCAAATGCCGGTTAATAGAGACAGTTTAGCAGTACCACCAGGGTAGGTTGAACCACCAGCCGAAGAAGTTGAGATCTAGTGTTCTGTTTGTTAAAACTTTTAATGCTACTTGATGCGAAAGCAAAATATTTTGTCCTAAACCTTGACGAAGGAAGCTTAATACTGCTAAAGTGAAATAATGAAACTTGGAAAAACTGGTTTTTTATTTTTATTTTTATTTTGAAGGTTTCGCATGTACTGTATATTTGTATTATAATGAAATGACCTTAACAATCATAAGGCCAATCAGCTTACTTTCCTTGGGTTTCGTTGGAAATTACTTTTTTCTCTCTTTCTTTATTTTCTGTTCTGTCACTACCATTTCTCACAATCAGTTTTGCCTATGTTTCAGCCGTGCCAGTCCGAGCAGATTCAATATCAAGCCATGATAGTGCACCCTCGAAACTTATAACAAAATCTTCAAATACTCAACTCTCTGATTTGGAGGCAGAATCAGCCTTGAAAAACAAGAAGAAAAGAAGCCAAATCGCCAAAGAACTCTCTGATATTGTCAACTACATCCAAGTAAGTCTCGAATCGGAAAATATGTATTCTGATCTCTGAAATTCGAATTTTTGGTTGCTGAATAGAAGCTATTCTTCTAAGAAAGTCTCGCTCAAAATTTGAAATTTTTCCAGAGGGGGAAAAGAGGAAGAAAAGACAGAGTTCAAAATTTTTAAAAAGTTGTTTACACCTTGAAACTACTTCGACTTGATTGAAAAGATGAAAAGATCAAAGGTGGCTTTCAGAAGTTAAAATTGCCAAGGCTATGAAGACAACTAAGTTAAAGATATTTGCAGACAGTATTTTTTTCTTCCCTTTTTTCCTTTTTTCCCCAAAAAAGATGATTTTGACAAAAACTTGAGTTCGGTGCCCATAAAACCAAGATATTTAGACAAAATATGAATTCAAGCATTTTCATCCTTTCATCTTACTCAGCATGCTCAACTCAAACTATTCTGTTATTGGGATAATTCGAACAATGTCCCAACTGATTTCATATGAGATTAATCCAATTATAATTTTAATTACTGTATTAGTATATGTTTGTAAAATATGATTTAGGATTAACTACAAGTGTTCAAAGTTACTGATTTTTGCATCCCTAAATACTAATTCTAGATGAGGCAAGGTTAGATAAAATTGTCATTAGTTCTTTCTAGGAAATTCAAGATAAAAATAGTTTTTGTTTTTTATTTGACAGGCAATCAAATTTCGAGGACTGAATCACATAAGCCCTAACACTTCCATGCGTGTCAAACGAACTCCTGGTCTCAAGAAAAGTAGCCCGGAGCCTTACGCCCATGTCAAACAACGTGTCAACACACATCATCCTATCTACCAGTGTTTTTCTCTCAATGAAAGCTCAGCAAAGAAACTCTGCCGGAAACAACCACACGCCCTCCTCGCCCACACAGAAACTCAGCTTGTGCGAACCTACCCCGCTGGAATGCGCATCGATTCCTCCAATTTCAACCCGCTCATTTTCTGGGCTTTTGGTATCCAGATGGTGGCACTCAACTACCAAACAGAGGACGCGTCTCTCCACCTCAACAGCGCCATGTTCGAGCAAAATGGACGTTGCGGCTACGTTCCGAAACCAGCTGTGATGTGGGATCGCTCGCACATGATGTACCGGCGCTTTAATCCATGGGAAAAGGAGTTCGATGGGCTTCATGCTTGTTACTTGATTTTAAATATAATATCGGGCCAATACGTCTGTCCATCCAACCTCACAGCAAACGTATTGGTTGAAATTGAAATAATCGGGATAGAGGTTGACTGCAGCAAGCAGAAAACTAAAGTTATCCAGCGCAATGCATTGAACCCCATCTGGAATGATTCGTTTTTTTTCCAGATCAACTTCCGTGACTTAGCTTTTTTAAAACTCAGTGTGTTGGATGCTAGTACCAACCACTTGTTGTCTCAAAGAATAGTACCGATCAAACATTTGCGACCGGGGTATCGTCATGTACGTTTGCGCAACAATCAAAACAACCCTCTCCCTGTATCAACACTTTTTGTGTTTTCACGATTGGAGGAAGAGAGTCTGGAAGGCGTTGATGGTAGTATGACTATTTCAGATGATAAGTCTCGTGACAAACAAGAACCGCAACATGATGTACGACCACTGGGTACAAAACGGCGCATGTTCTTCCTGATGGTTTATGGAGTTGTACCTGAGGAGCCGTATACGATTTTAAAAATTACTCAAGAGTCAACTACGCAAGAGGTGGTACTGCAGGCGCTCCAGAAAACTGGCCAAGGTGCAGAACGTGTGAATGATTATGTCTTAGTTGAGGAAGTTGCACGTAGCTGGGAGCGTAAAGACCGCGATGTACCTACTGCTCAAAGAGTTCTTGACCCAGAAGAGTGTCCCCTTCAAGCGCAGGGTCAGTGGCAAGGTGAAGGACGTTTCATCTTGAAAAAGCTCGGAGACGATCCGAGTAGCCGGGCTTGGTTGTCTTCTATCCGCAGCACTCGTGCTCGTCAAGCCAGAACCTGGGAAGAGGCTGATAATTTCCTTGTGTGCGTCTATAATGTATCACCAGAAATCCCATATGCAATTCTCAAAGCTCCCCTAAGTGCATGTGCACAAGATGTTCTCGCGCAGGCGTTGGTGAAAGCTCGCCGAATGGAAAACCCAAACAAGTTCATTCTAGTAGAAGAGCTGGAATGGGGTGGGAATAGGCAGTACCGCGTTTTACCTGATGATGAAAATGTGTACAAAACTCAGTCTCATTGGCAGACAATCGGACGATTCATGCTGCGGGAACGCCAAGAAATCGGGCGCAGGCAGAAACTGAATAAAGATTGGATCAAACTCCCGGTGAGTGAGGCGCTGAGTGACCCGACAACCAAACCAAGGCTGGCCACAGTTGGTTTTCACCGTGATGTCCATTCAGAAGGTGAAACTCTGAGTGATGATGACAGGACGGCTGTGTCTAGGCTGAAAAAGATATCACTAAAAAAATTGAAGATGTGGAAGTCGTGATACCTCACTTATAAAATTTCTTGGATATTGGCTTCTCACTTTAAGGTCCTTTTGAATCAATCATTGTTCTTAATAGTATTACATTGTTGAAATATTTTGGTGTCTAGGCATCTGTGAGGAATTCTTCTTGAGTGATATCCTTAAATCGGCCCCTAATGTCCTTGGACCTGATCAATGGATCCTGATTAATATGATATCTCTGAAAATTTTACTTTCATGAAGAATTCATTTTTGTTTGAAAAGAATCCTCTAAAATTGTAAGATCATGAATTTTGTCCTCTATTGGAGCAATTTATTTTTGAATGCCATATCTTCATGCCCATTCGTTGGATTTTTCCAGCAAGTAAGTCAACAGTAGAGTTTGATGAATATCATTATAGAAAAACCCACCTAAAAAATTACTATCTGTAAAACAATGTTATTGATTCATGATTGGAAACGGTCAGTATGGCTGAAATGTGTTCTCTTTTTTTTCCCATCTCCGAAAATAACTGAACATGAAAATTACAGGGATCTGCCAACAAAAATAATAAGATTATGTACGTCAGATTCAAAAGAGAGATCCATAAATTTGTAATTCCTAACAATGGAATTCCAAAATAATTCAAATTTGTGAAAATGCTCTCGTGATTTTTTGCTCTGAAATGCAGATGTTAGCTCAACAATCAAATCTGTTGCTCTCAAACAGAGAGGGCTGAAAAAATATTCATACGTAATACCTTTTCATTTTAAGAAGAGCTGTGAAAGGCATATTAAACTTACTTTCAGCTTTAGCCCTGTGCCCTAATATCTTTCACCTACAACATGGGTTGTGTTTCGTCCTGCGTCCAGCAGGCAGTTAAATTAATCGTTACCTACTTTTTTACCTGCAATATTAAAAATTCTAATCGCTGATCACCTGTGTTTTGTTTTAATTTGACTTAAACTGTTTTCCCCCTTCAACCATTTGGTTCTAATTGTAAATATTGCATCTGCACAGTGGAAATATCCTAGGTACCTGAGTACCTTAACTATTGATTATTAATTGATTAATTGTAGTTAATTAATTTTGTATATGTCAGTTTCTTATTACTTTTCTCGTTTTGTTGTCTGTTTAATTTTCTACACTATTGTGATGCATCCTTCTTGTAAATTAATGATTTATTTATTACTAGCTCTAAGTTTGTAACCGCCTGTCAGGTTATATGAGGTTTCCTAGAATCTGCTCTACAGCTTGACAATGTCAAGATATCCTTTTTTGTTTTTAATGACGTTTCATATCACTTTGCAAATTCATAAGTACCTAGAGCTTCCTTTCCGAAACTAGTCAAGAGGAGGTTTTTAGTCGTCTTCTTTACATATCTGGCTTGTAAGTCATGTCTAAGTTTTGACCGAAGTAAAATCTCTTATTCACATTTTGTAAAGCTCAAAATCAGAGAAATGTTTGTATATATTTATTGTATAAGAGATTAATTTTTGCACTAAAGTTAAATTTTTATTTTATCGCTTAGAATCAAATACATTATAGTATCGAGTAGATTTTCAACAGCTGAAACGACCAGTATGAATGATAGTCAAAGCATACAATCTAACGTTCCTAAGTGGGATGAACCAAATAGTCATGAAGTCAAGATACTTCGAATATTTACAGTGGGGATTCCTCCAAGTTGGCAACACTATTTTTCTGCTGTTTAAATTATAAGTGAAACAATTTAACGTAAAATCATCTATCTGCATGAAAAAACTAATGGCATATGTATACTGTTTCTGTAAGGAGCCATAAATTAAGCCATAAGTCATAAGCCATAAGTCTGGACGCACGCCCAATGGCACACCTTCTTCGTTTTTCTTGAGACTTGGATCTTGGCGCTTAGGCCCTTTAGAAAAGTATCCGTTCAATTGGTTTCTACCACAAGAAATGTATCGCATTTAAACTTTCTGCTGCTTGTCAGCAATAAGATCCTAAAACTCGTCCATGGGAATGACTGCCCAATGTGGATTAGTCTAGCCTGAAATCCATATTTTTAATGAATTCAAATGATGGTTCAAAAGTATTGCCAAGTCGGAGGAATCGCCACTGGGTGATTGAATGTTACAGATTTGGCGTAAACTCGTACTGAGAATCATTCATAAGCCAACTTCCTTTCAGAAAAAGAACCTCGTATAACTGGATGCAGTAATATCATGTGACATGTGTTATTTTTACACTTTTGAAAAGTATCATTTAGTATTAAGACTCCTTTCTATAGGTTGTACATTTTTCCAGAATCATTTCGCTTTTGTTGGGGAGTAAGTAAGAGATCTGTTTTCATAATCTAATCCAGTAACCCAGCCACTATCGGGACTCACTCCATTAAAATGGGCCCATTTAATGGGCCCGTTTTAAAACCCAGGTTTTAAAACGCAGGAGTACGAAAAAGAAAATAAAAAACTTCTTGGCAAACTCGAGTATTGGGCTAAAATGAAATTTGATTTTAGTTCACATGTTTTCCTGGCTCCTTAATAAAAAAAATAAATTAAATCCACTCTGCTCATCCTCCAGTTTGTTTGTCAGTGTTAATAAGGCAGTGACAAGGAATTTTTGCAAGGTTGTAGCACAGTTTTTCTCTGGTAAAATTTTGTGAAAAAACCAAAAAATTCATCCAAAAGTTCACAAAATTATTTTTGGTGGAGACAGAGCCAATGAGATCCGATCAATCTATAGCTGACAGATGAGTTGACGTAGTAAGGCGATACAAACGAGTTCTACCAATCAATACACTTAGTTTTCTCGGTCTGACTGTGTCATCCTAGCCCGCCAAAAATAACGTTTCAAACCGGTTCAATTTTTGGTATCTTAAAAATGTGGTTTCTTCGCCATTTAGGACTAAACAATTTCTAAAGAATTCCACTAAGCCTAGTCCACTGTGCACTTCTAGAAAATGTCTTTAAAATATGCATACCTATGACCCGTTTTTTAAATGTTCTGAAACTGTTTTCTCTGTTGTTAGTAACTGTTTGCAATTTTCAAACTTTCCTCTGGAATGATACCAGCATTATGTGGCTGTGCAAAGTAAGAACAAGAGCTACCAATTAAATGAGTTCCAATATCATCATTACTCTCTGAATTTTAAGATAAGAAAACACTTATATCGCACTGTTGCTCGTTTTAAGTGAAAGCGCTGTCACAATTGAAATGAGGTTTTAGGTATACATACAGTGTACTTGGAACCCATATAGTCTGCAACTGGAATACGATTTTGCAATAAATTGTGAGGTTTTTCCTGCATTTTACTGGAATTTGGATTATCTCGAATCATTTTTGGTTAATTTCTTTTTGTTTTTGTTATCAATTTATTGTTGAGCGGTGTGAGTCAACGATCGGAGATGAATGCTTTTTGATTATGACTTAGAATGACCAATCACTTTACTATTTTCCATGGTTATTTTCTCGTTGATTGTTCTTATAATGAAACCTGTACAGCAATTATTCCTGTGAATTCTTTTCTCAAGTTACCCAAGATTTTGCCTGTTACCTAATCATTAAAATTTTGAAACACTCTGTACCAATTGAGACCTGAAGCTTACTGAATTCCTATCAAAGCACAAATTCATTATTTGAATTTTATTTTTATCCTCGGGATAAATATTTCCCTTACGTGTTCGTAAATGCCTTTCAGTGGTGTCTTGAGAAATCCTGCTGCTATTTAAAAAACTATTATATTTCACCCTCAGCTATGTTTTACAATTTTCTTCCATATTTCATTTCTCTTGGGGATTAATATCATCTAGCATTATTAAAAAGGACTGTTCCTAGGCAAGGTGATTTGGATGTCGAATGAGTCAAAATCGAGTAATATATTAGTGATATTGAACAGGAGAATAACTGACGCTATTGTAGACTGTATTCATAGTCATCCCTTTAATAGCTCCTTTCCATAGGAGGCCTCATTCGGTTTATATTGTAATTAAGGAGGGTTCAAGGCAGCTTTTATCAGAGATCATAAAAGATACATTTTTTACAAATCTGGAGTAGCATTTGAGAGTGAAAATTCAATAGGGCCATTGCAAGAGATAACAATGATTTGCCAGCGCAAAAAATAAATAATTCAAAAGAAAAAATTCTACGATTTTGACAAACTGTAAGATACATACGAACCTACCTTCAAAGTTTCAAAACTGGGGTTTTTTTCCTTTGCATTTTTAATTTTGTACAGAAGCACATCATTGTCATCTCTTGTAATGGTCTATTTCCGAAGTTATATTCTTAGATTTTACTTGGGATTTGTTAACATTGTACTTTTTAAGATGTTGCTTTAAACCTCCCTCGATCACGATGTAAACTATATGGGGCTTTCTCAGGAAAGAAGCTATGTTAGGGACGACAATGAATACGGCTCACACTAGCACAAAACGAGGACCAAAACTTTTAAATTGTTTTCACGTTTGCAAATTTAAAAGAAAAAAGTTGTTTTGAGAAGAAGTAAATGAACAAAACAACTGTCGCTTATCTCTGAAAATACTAAAAAAAAAAAATTCCGACAGAAAGTCAAGTACGGATTTTTTTTTTCTCCCATGAAATTTGTCCTGAAAAAACGATAAATTAAAAAATTGTCTCCCCTTTCGGTGGCACCTTTTTAAAAGAATTGTCACTTTTCCAAGGATTTTGATAATTTGTACATTCACACGGAAAAAAATTAAATTGCTGATTCAACAATTCTATTGCTAAAAACAGTGAGTGCAATGCTTCAATGCAGATTTTACAACAAAAAAATGCTACTTTAACCACCCCCGTGGTTAAATTAGTTTACAATGTGGTTAAAGTAGCATTTTTTTCTTGTAAAATCTGCGTTGAAACATTGCACTCACTGTTTTTAGCAATTGAATTGTTGAATCAGCAATTTTTTTTTTCGTGCAGTAGAAAGAATTTCTGGCAACATTTCAAGCAACAATTGCTCACTTCTCTCTGAAAACTGGAATATGAGAGAGAATTTTAAGAAATATCATAGCTGCTCCGGGATTCAAGATTCTTAAACGTTCTTCTTTCTTTTCGGCAAGTCTCAGCGAAATAAACAGGGGAAGAAATGATTTAAAGGGAAATCATGGGACACCACTGTTGCCTTCTTTCCTGTGCTAAACTTTGTCTGTAATATCAAGGTCATACCTTCTTTGTACAAATGTTTCATCCCTCTCATTTTTAAAGCCTTTTTCGTTTGTTAGGTTTTTATTCATTCATTTCTTTGTTTTTATTGATTACAACAAAGTTTTAAAAAATAAAGACCAGAGATTTTTGTAAATCCACATATTCAAACTGTATTTTCTTAACGTCCTCAAACCTCCTTTTATAGATAAATGGACCGCGTTAAACAGAAAGGAACCAAGCCACATCAGTTATTGCCAAATTTAATTTTTTACATGAAAACGGTTGTGTGGATTTTCGTACAAATTTCAGTGAAAATTCTCCGTGGTGCGGAGCGAATTCCTTAAAATTTTCCAAGAAATCCGAACAACCGTTCTTTCGTAAAAAATTTAATTGCCCAGTTAAACTTGGCAATCGCTGATGTAGCTTGGTTCCTTTCTGTTAAACTCGGTCCAAATGATGCACCCGAGGACAAAAATTGAAAATTAAGAGAAAGTTATATCCGCATCAAGAGATAAATTCAGAATCATTTGCTGCAAAATAACACTAGAAAGTTCTAGAGGGATTTCTTAAGGGCAAATCAAAATTCGAGAACGGACAAATGTGATTTCAAGGAAATTCAGTCAAAGTTTTGAAACAAATTTACCTAAAGAATTTCGCTTCTTTTTCATTAAAATTGATTCCTGCTTTTGTAATGACCTTAATATTGTATAATGAACTCTAATACACCTTTACATTTGATATGATAAAAGCACAGCCTTGTTATAACGTGCAAGCACAAGTTGAAAAAAGCTCATCGAGTTGAGATTGAGTCTTTGCATTGATAGCGGTTTTGAACTCCTTCACTTGCCTATAAAATCGGTGAGAATATAGATTATGACCTAAAATTTTAACAAAATGTTCTTGATATGGCTAGTAATCGATTGGCATGAAAGACAAAAAATCAATAATTTTTTTTTGCTCTTCTGTCAATTTCGAAACTCAACCCGAGTCCCCTTTTCCTCGGGTGCATCATGTATAAATTGACAAAGAGTTGTCTCCTCAATCAATTTCTTCAGCATAAAAATCGTCAGGCTGAATGAAGGGACATTTTTTTATTAGTTTTCTAGGCTTTACCAGCTTCATAAATGACAGACACAAAAAATGCCTCCCTCCTCAGTCTTGTCTCTGGGTGCTCCTGAGACAAAATTGAAAAAGGTCAACCTTAGACCTTCAAATGAAAGCTTCATAAAGAATTCTAAAAAAGTTGAGAAATATTTCCTGTTCTCAGTAAACTGAGTTAAGTAAAAATCCAGGAAAACAGCTGGAAAAAAAGTTCACAGAATAACGAGTGTTTTAGATGATAACAAAACAGAATTATATTGATAGTTGTGAGATAAGACACATTTTCAGAGAGATTGACATTTTTGAAAGTTAGTTTGTAGCTCAATATACAATTAACACTTGTAGTTTTCATCAGAAGTAGTCGATTCAGGAGTCTCACTCATGAAAATACAGAAATCAACACGAAAAATTGGCCGTTGAGCATAAGTCTATAGGGATATTTATCCAAGATATTATCAATCCAAATCCTATACACTATATCCCAGAGCCATTTCGCGGGGAAACAAAGCCAAGAAATACCAAAAATTAAAATTAGAGTCAAAAATAAATTTTTGGAACTCTAATTTTTCTCTCTCTCTTGTTATTTTTGACTCTAGTTTTAATTTTTGGTATTTCTTGGCTTTGTTTCCCCTCGAAATGGTTTGGACCCAGCACCATTTCTCCACCTTGTTACATACAGTTTCGGGGCACTTCTTAGTGTTTAATTTTTTCATCTATATCCCAGATATATTTCATTACTCTGATAAAAAATATAAAAAAATAAATTAACTGTTTTTCCTGCTACTCCCTGATTAAAAGGCATTAATTGTAGGGGAGCTGTAGTTGAAAAGTTCCGGGTAAAGACCTAGTTTCCTGGTTTTCTTGGCCTTAATATAGGCACTACACTTAACTCTCTTTAGCCAATTCTGCGATTTCTCTGAGATAAGTGAGAGGAAGGTGCTTTCAAGGATATTCAAAACAGATCTAAGTTTCGGATCCATAAACCACAGAACGGTGGAAAAATTCTCCAGCCTTTCTCTGGACTAGAGAATACAAGTGATTATCCTAATTCACAAGGCGAAAATCAGACAAAATTCTGCAACTTTACAAGTCAAAAGTGGCGTTGCGACCTGGCAAAATAACTACCAGCAGCTCACAGGAGGGATTCGAGACCTATTCCGGGAGATCATGCTCAAAATACCTCCGCTGTTTGTGAATTTGCTTCTTTCGTTTCTTCTCAAGGTATTTTGGTAGCTTTCCGTCCTTTTTCAACTGCTCGTACTGATCAACAAGAGCTGATATTTTCTTCTCACCTGGAAAAAGAGAACGATGATTTACACTTTTGACCAACCATCCCTGTAGCATTTTACTGGAACTTTTTAACAGAGGTAAGACTTTCATACAAAACTGAACCGAGTAAAAACTCACTTGTGACGACTTTTTACAAGTTAACAATCCGAACAATGAAAGGCCGCCTTCTCGAAATGTATCTACTGTAAAAATTAGTGAAAGTTGTCACAAGTGAGTTTTTACTTGGTTAGTTTTTAAACTAAATTGAGATAATTGTGCGGATTTTTTTTTTTTCAATTCGAGTGAAATCAAGGGTAAAATTGTGCTGCTTGTCTTCCATTCATTTAAACTACATAAAAAGTCATAGTATTAAAACAAGTTATAACATGTATTTGTCTCCTATTTTGATTTTTCTCTTGTGAAACTTGTTGAACTGAAGGCAACTCAGAAACAGAAATGCAAAAGCTAGAATAAGGGTCTCCTGGTGTAGACGACACTCGTTTTGAAAGTGTTGGATGAAATTTTGTTAAACTCAGTCCAGATAATGTTATAGAAAAATGCAGATGATATTAAGTTAAAATTAAAAATGCAGAGAATAGGCTAATTGAATCCAAAATTGGCTAATTTACCTTTGCTAAAATGTAATCTCACTTCATTTATGACATTGGGCAATTCCATTTTGCACATATTTTCTTTAAAATACAAGGAATCAGAACAATCGGGCTTCATGAAAAAGCCCATGAATTGCCATCTCCTGCTTGAAGGAAAGCATCTCTATTCTTCACTGCGTTGTTTCAGTATTTCTTACTAAAAGCTTGAAGAAGAATAGTCATATGAACTTTCCTCGAGTTTTCTAGTGATTTTTCAATAGCCTTGTGAGAAAAAATTATAAAATTTATGATCTACTTTTTGCAACAGTTCTCCCATAAAAAAATAAAATGTTCATGGGCACACTAAAACAGTGCAGACAAAATATGTTCCTTAGTGCAGGAGACGACAAAATAAGTCTCAAGGCCCTCTTGCAGGTAAATCCTCATTGAAAAATAAAAAAATTGAGTCCACCGGTGAATTTTGTAGGGCACATAAAAAGAAAAGAGGAAAATCACTAATGTGAATGATAAGCTCATTTGAGTGGGCACCATTGTTGACTTACGTTTACTCTTGAAATGAGGGATCTTTCCTTCTTTCAGGCGTTCGATGTTCTGGGCTCTTTCAGTCCTTTCCTTTTCTCTCCTTGCATTCACTTTCTGTTTTTCTCTGATTTGATTTTCCTACAAGAAAAAATTACAACATAGAAAACGAAACTAAAAGCGGAAAGTTTGAGCAACTCGAATAGACCAACCACAGCTGATAGGATATTACCGCAAAACCCCAGGTTAAAAAAAAAAAGAGTAAGCACTATAAGTAATACAGAAAGCAAATACAAACTGGAAATAATGTACAACTTTAAGACGCAGATTAAGAGTGATATTGTGAAGCTTTTAAATTAATCTTTGCACTTGTGTGGCTTTGACATTCTCCCTCAGTTGTGACAACCTAAAACTATCATATGGACCATATCGGCGGAGAACTGCAGAGATGTGTTTCTTGTGGTGTTTAAAAGTTTCATTTCTACTCTATTTTCAAGAAAGAGACCAAACTAAAGCCATGGCTAGAATATTTACAGAATATTCTTCGTGCAGAGACAAAAAATCGAGGAAGTTTTCAAAAAACAACGTCTTGCAAGTTTTCAATTAGAAAACCAAGTATGATAGGAAGCTGAGACACATGTTTTCGCACTTACAGCATTAAGGTATGCTATAAAGGACAAAATTAGCAAACAAGGGCTAAGTTTTTAGAGAGAACTTATAAGCTGCCTAGTAGAAAGCTCAAAATTTTCTGAGTTGAGTGCAACTATACACTGCTCACTGACAGAAAAATAATCTAAGCCACCGGCAACTTGAATACTGGGGATATAATTTATTGGAAATAAATTTCCGATTATTTGCACCCTGAACTTTCCCACTGGGTTAGGTCAACTAGGATCCCTTTTTCCACGAATGCCAAAAATTATTTTAAAAACTGAGTGTGCCAAACTTAGAAAAAGATCCAATATCTGTCAACCATGAACGGATTACAACAAAAATTTTAGGTCATTAAAAAAACATCTTATTGATGAAGGAATGTGTTGATCAAACGTTCTTACCATTCGGGTAATCAAAAACTTTATCTTCTCTTTACTCTCAGGATCGTCTTCTTCTTTGAACTGTCGTTTCAGTGTAGCCAATTCTTTCTTTTTGATTTCTCCTATAAATTCATAATTTTGCTTGAATGCCTGAAAGCAAGGTACAAGAAAATTATTCAATATTCTATGGATTATTTTTCTGGCGAAAGTTCCTCAAACTAAAAAGAGGGACAGGTCCTATACAACTGAGGTAAGTAAGCAAAATTTTCAGCAGTCAGTCGTTTCTTCATTTTTTACATTCATGTTACTTACGTTATTAGTTATTGATTTTTGATGCAGTACTAACAATATTAGAACACTGTTAGGCTCAGCAATAGTGTTAATTGTTGTCTTATTCTATTGCAAATGAGGACCTTTCTGACCAAATGGCATACACCCATGCCGATGTAACTGAGATTATACAACTTTTTTTTTCTTTTTTAACGAGCATTGGAAATCATCTGAATCAAAAATATCTTTGCCAAAACATTCAGAAAAATCGAGAAAAATTGCAGAGCAGAGCATTCCCTGCCAGCTGAACAAGTAATTGGTACATATATACACATATTTTCGTTACTTCATCCCCCTGTATATTAAAGTTTAAAGGTGCTGAAGATTTCAAAACTGCATATCACTCTTACCTCTTCGTTCAAAGGACCATATAAGTTATCAAATCTGGGATCCGTGAATTTCTTCCTCTTCAAAGGAACAATTTCGCGGAACTTTGATACCGGCTTTTTTGATGACATTTCTTGAGGTCTGAAATTGAAAAAATAACTTTGATTTCTCGTCATTAAGTAAAATTACTTCATTATGAAGCTGAGCTCCAGATTTGGTGGGTACTAACTCTGCAAAGACATCCTGAAAGTATGAAAAGTCCCTCCATTTTTTCTCCCTTAAAATTACAGTCTTGTTTTTTGCAATTAAAGAAAATTATACAGCCATTTTTTAAATATTTTAAAGAATAGGCCACTGCAAAATTCATACACCCGAAACTAGTAACAAACGTAACTCATTAGAATGCGGCCAGATGGGTAGGTTGAGTGCTAGAACACTTAACTAATACGGTTTCTGCCGATGAAACAGGCTCTTAAAAGGAAAACGGTTGTCAAACTATGATGGTTTTTGCAAAAGTAGGGATCAGTTTGCTCTCAATTTGAGGAAAACAACCTTCAATGGTTGGCAGGTTTGATACATTAGAATGATGTAATATTGAAAAGTGGAACTGATTAATGTCTCCGACTGAATACCAACTGTTAATTTATTGCCCCATAGGTAAAATCTTTTGGCACTTTAATTACCCCACCGCAATTTAGCCGTTTCAGCAGCCGTCTTTCTAACAAGTAGTCGACTAAGTACTTTTGTTGTAAAAATTAAGGGGGGGGGGGTTGCATACTTTTGGACAACAGTTGATAGAAATTAGGCCTACCTATTTTTCTTCTTGTGAGGTGCTTCATCGCTTTCTCTTGGTTTCTTGTGTTCTGGCTGCACACCTAGGACTTTCTTGTTGAAAGCTTTTGATCCTATTTTTTCCTTGATTTTTAGAAGGTCCTCGAGTTTGATATCCTTGCACTCATCTACCAATGCCATCTGCAAGAAATAAATTGATTAGCAGAGCTCTTGAATATACATTCCAGTCATTTAAAAGTCTGTTCTGAGAGAGCTCGACCGTCTCATAACACTGCGGAGAGCAAAGTAAAATATTAAAACATGATTCTGTGACAAGCACAACCGACCCAATAAGTTAATGGATGATAGACGATACACAAGATGTCCTACTTTTATGGTTGACTTTCATAAGGATGGGAAAATGAAGACAGCAGAAATTTTGTCTCTCTTTGAAAGCTGATTAACACACTTGACGTGAGCTCTTATCTAATAAGGGGCAAAAGCAGCTTGATTGCCAATGGCTAAAACATGCATTGTATGGTGCCTGTGAGGATTTCATCAAATAACCTGGTTGGGTTTTAGAGTGGAAATGAACTAAATTGTGAAGCATCCTACGGCTGAGGATCTACTGAAACAAGGCTCCAGGTACATTCAGAATTTTCAAGAGCTTGTGCTCGATACTTGGGGTTGAGATCACCAAGAATTCAACTTCTCAACATTTTTTAATGTGCAAAAGGTATTGGACACCCCATAAAGATAAAGCTGCAAAAATGGAATTAAGTATTATTTTTGATTTACCTTTCGAGTGCATGCGGGTGTTCCGAAATATGTGTGCAGACTTTACTGAGATGAAACTTCACTTGGGAGTGCCCACTTAAAAAATTAAACAATATGAATTACATGAAGTCAACTCTTGACATGAGCACAAGCAATTATCAGAACAAAATTCAAACTAATTTTATTATTAAAATTCGTTTCCTTGATGTTTTGATGGGACACGCATGGACACAATAGAATGAATTGTTATTGTTTATATTTGAGGTTAGCTTAGTTGCCAAGATCGTCAGTGGCACTCAGAGACAAGTGGCACTCAGCAATTTTTACTAATTTTTACAACCTATTTTTTTCAATTATTCCTCCATTCGAACAAAAGGAATCTTAACCGCAAATTCTGAACCAGACGCTTTGATTGGTCCAGAGCGTTTCATTCCATTTATTCCGAGTTGAACCAAAATAAGCGGGAATTTCAAATAAAGCAATGTTGTCAGTTTTACAAATTCCGGATATCCTGTTTGCCCAATCGTTTCCGTTTCCGGTAAAACAGTGTTGTCAGTTTTACCCTACGAATTTTTGTAAATTTGTCAACATTGTTTTACCGGAAACGGAAATCATGTAGTAAACAGGATATCCGGAATTATTTGAAATTCCCGCTTATTTCGGTTCAACTCGGAATCAACCTCGGAATAAATGGAATGAACCGCTCTGGACCAATCAAAACGTCTGGTTCAGAATTTGCGGCATTGACGTATAATACAATCTAGACCGCGCATTACGAAATTCAAGCGAGACGATAGGCAACCCAGCAACACACAGCAAGTGTACCGGCGAGACAATGGTGGAATTCGTGGAAATGCCAGTCTTGCCAGTGCCGTTGCCTGATACGGGTACACTTAGCTCGTATATCCGGCGGTATCAACTAGGCTGAAGGCGCGTCTTTACCCCCCTAGCTGTCTTACCTTCCCCGCCTAAAGTCGGGCCCAATGCGCGGTCTAGATTGTATTATACGTCAATGATTTGCGGTTAAGATTCCTTCTGTTCGAAAAGTGGAATAAATGGGAAAATGTAGCGATTTGAACCGATTTGGATGAGTTTTTGTCAGTTTTTGTAAGATCATGACATACCGCGTGTCCATATTCTATTTTCGGAATTTCTTCTAAAACGCATGTACATGAATGGGTTTTCAAATTTTAATTCTGAGAATAGTATAACTTCAAATACAACTGAGTATTTGGTGAACGTAAATAACCAATAATTTATACGACTAGTTGACAACGTCAACATGGTGACGTCATGAATCATATGTTTATGTAAACAAAAACAAAAACGCATTAGTTCGAACACGAATCGCACGAAAATTCGTTCCAAAGAAAACTGCCGGCTGCTGAATCAAAATTTATCATTTCACACCTCTGAAATTCTTAAAATGTAAGTAATTCTCAAAGGACAACGTATTTATTATTCCATTTATGCTCCTCTCTCCTCCTTTTTTCTCGACAGTTTTTTTTTATTTTTCTAAAGCAGTAGGTTATCACTGCGTGTCTTATGATCTCAAGATAACAGACGGGAATGCTATCATTGTTTCCAGATAAAAGATTACATCAAGTTTTGATATGAACTGATCCAGCGAGTACGTCATCTAATACATTAACAAACTCTTGGACCAAAACAGAACAATCCAACATAATGTTTCATGAGTTAATTGTGTTCCTTCATCAGTCATTGACCAGTCATAAATCAATTGAAGATTCATACGATAACTTTTGATTGTAAGGAACACTCAGATGCATTTTACCACCATGTTGCAAAGGGCGCGAAATGGCGTAAATCACAACTTAGGTTCTGAGTTTGTTTACGTTTGAACCAATTATATCGATTGATGCAGCTACTAAATCAGTCTAAGTATTACTAGAATATTCTCGGGGGAAATCTTGGTCATTGACAGTTTCAACATCCTAAGGAATCCCTTTTAACTCTCCTAATCCTAGTCTGGTGCTATGCTAGGTTCAGCACCAACACAAGGTGGTTTCACGGTAATGGAAATAGCTTTTTCTGGCTACAAGGAACAACTAAGGGCAAACCATCGAAAACAATGGTGACATATCAGAAGAAATGCCTCTTCAAGATCGGTCCATTAGTAGTTATCGATAAACTTATCCGCATCATGAGAATTTAAAGATTGAAAAGGACCCTGCTTACCTACTCTAAATGGGAAGGTGCATCATGATTATTTTTTAATTTTTTTATTGCATTCAATTCATCTCAAGATGGTAATCAAAAGTCTTTATTGCGCCAACTTTCTACGATGCACTGTTTTTGCACAATACGCCCAGAATGCTTAAATTATTCGGTGATAAAAAGTCTGAGAGATTCCTCATTTCAGCCCTTGAGTGAACGGTCGGCTGTGTGTCATCAAGGAAATCAGGGGAACTCAAGCACCGAGCGGTAGTCTTATCTCGGATTCTGCCTTTTTGCTTGACCATCCAAATCAGGTTCGTGAGGAGCGTAAGAACAGGAAAGTCAGAGAAAAACAGTGAATGTCAAACAGACGAGAGTGGGAGGAAGATAGCCCCAGAGTAGGCAGGAATAAATATGAAGACAGACACTTGCTATTCACATCAGACCTGTTGTTGAATGCCTTGCTCTTTCTGAATCTTCATCCCTGAAAAATTGAAGCGTTCCGGGCGCACAGTGCGAAAATGGGGAATCGTAGAGGTCGACGCAATTATCACTTTTGATCAGCATCTTGAGATGAATTGAATGCAGTAAAAAATTTAAAAATCGATCGTGGTGCACTTTCCCATAAGGAGTGTGCAGTGTCCTTTTCGTTTAGTCACACATCGCCAACTTCAATTTTGAATTAAAAAAGTAACACTTAGCAGTAAACTAAGTAGTAAAGACCTTTAATTTTAACAGCTGTTAAAATTAATCAAAATCATGTTAGCATGATTTTGAGAGGACCTCTAATGCCTACAAAAATGTCCGTATTGAAGTAAAAAAAATTTTTTCAAGCTAGAAAATTCATCAGGAAAGTGTGTTACAATCCCTGATAATATGAATCCGCAGTGATGCTTAATGCTTTTTTTTTTTTTGCCAGATTGAGTCGAAAGATTTGGAAGTGCTGTGAAGTTGTAGGCAAGATCTTTTCGAGTACCTTCTTCCTCTGTCACCAGTCTACTCACTTACACGTGGAACGATGCGGCTAAGATCAAGGACAATAAAAAATAGAGGTAAATATCTGCATGTCTCTCATATCATTGACTATACCCTACAAAATCTTTAGACATTCTTGCTGCAAAGTTTTTCCCTGTTTTACCAGGCTAAAATTTAAGTATCATTCAACATGTGATGGGTAGTTACTTTCTTTCTCTGTACCTCATTGCTGTTTTTTTTCTTGCTTTCTTTCTTTTCTTTTTCAAATTTTCTATTTTTATGGGTGTAAATGTACCTGACTAACACAGCAGGTCAAAGTGTGCCAGAAAAGCACAGTAAGTATCTTAGATGCTGATGTTGCTGAGCGCAAGTCAGAGAGCAAAATGGAATCTTTCTCATTCATGCAGAAGTTATGGCCCCAGTAACTCAGCAGCAGAAGTCTTTATTGACTTATGCCAGGTTTACTAACTGGGCAGCTTATTGTCTCAAAAGTTTCCCTGCAGCCCAAGTAGCATTTTGCAATGTAAAAGTTGCAACAAGTTGAAACAATGTTGGTATTAGTTGCAATAAAGTTGTAACTTTCGGTCAACTTTTGGTCGATTAGTGCCGATTTTCGGTGATCTGATCAGAAAACAAAGTTGCAACCTGCTGAGATTGCAAAATTGCTGAACCAAAGTTGTTTAAAATATAAAGATAGGCAACCAGCAATACTTTGAAGTTGAAACATATTTCAACTTAATTGCAACTAGTTCCAGCAAGCTAGCTCCTTTGAGGGAGAGAGTAGACAATCTGCACATAAATCTGTTAGTTGCAAGAATCAAACTATTTTGTTGCAAGTTTTTGCAACCTCTGCTACTTGGGAGATGTTGCGTCCCAAAAGTTGTACCTTGAGGTGGAAAGGAATTTGTGAAATACATAAATGTACAGCAGTGTGAATGGTTTGATTTTCATCATTTGGTGCAAATGACATCCAAGAATTCTAAAAATGAACCCTTTGGCTATAGATCAAAGTTCAAGGACAAATGTATTACATTTTGCAATTTGGACCTATAGATTCGAGCCCGGTTTTAAAACAACGTATGTGCCATTAGTTTCCCTATGCACATACGTGTTTTTCCAGAAGAGCCAGAATTCATAGTTCCAAACTGCAAAATGTGGTCCAAATAAAAGAAAATTCAAGTTAACAACTGTTGAAGTTTGCTGACTCTGTTGCCAGTTGTACAAATCATTCCTTTCAAATGCTTAAAATATTAATAGTAAAGCAAATTATGTCTCAAAATGAGGACTTAAGTGCAAACTGCATGCAAGCCCTCAACTTTACTTTCAACTTTGTAGTGTTCTTGAGATTATAGGAAAGTGTTTTTATGAAGTGTTAAAACTTAAAGCTTGCATTTCTAAATCGAAATCCGCTTTTCTGCTCCACCAAACAGTTCAAGGTTTCATCTTACGGCACATTTTGCCCTGCCACAGAGAGGAAGAGAACCGCTAACCATATTTGTGGAGGGTATTTTTTTTTTTTTTTTTGGACTTTTTGACTTTTTGCCCTGTAACAGTGCTTTGGCCTTAGTGCATGGGCACAAACAGCCACTGACAAGCTGTGGAGGGTATACCAATATCTTCTGTCAAGTGTGATCTGTGGCACTCCCGCAGCTTCAGATTCTGGAGATTTATACAGCTTCAAAGAGGGGATTTGAGGAGCTACCACTGCTTTACAAACTTACCTGCAGAATATTGGGGACCAAGCACAATTGGACTGCGTTAAGCAGAAAGAAACCAAGCCACATCAGCTATCGCCGAATTTAATTGGGCAATTTAATTTTTTACATGTAAACGGTTTTGCGGATTTTCGTGCAAATTTCAGTGAATTTTTTCTATAGTGGGAAGCAAATTCCTTAAAATTTTCAAAGGAATCCGCGTGAACGTGCTCTCGTAAAAAAAAAGACGGTATTAAATTTCCCGGTTAAACGCAACAGCTGATGTGGCTTGGTTCCTTTCTGTTAAACGCGACCCAATTATACCATCTACCATCCTCTTACTTATTTTTTTTAAAGAAATGACTGCATAATTTGCCGTGCATTTTACTGATTTCTACATGCTCTGCCAGAACCTTGCCGTGGGTTTTCTTCTATTTGAGCCTTGGTTATCCAAGGGCATGGTTTTGATCGACATGGATCGATTGAAAACTACAAACATGAATCGATTGACACCGATTCGACCGAAAAATTATTACGAAAACGACGTCGGCTCAATCGATATGATTTTAATTGATCGGAAAATATAAATGTGGACCTATCGACAGTTCCATGACTTGATCGACTAACCCATGAATCAATTGACAAATCTATGAATCGATCGACAAATCCGTGAATCGATCGACAAACCCGTGAATCAATTGAATTATGTCCGTCGATAAACACAAGAAAATGGTCATCAGTTAGCAGGCGTATGAGGAGCGACTGCACTAGGCTCCATCATAACAAAGGTGCTACAAAGAGATAAAGGACTAAAGATGAGCAAAACGAGAAGGAAGAGGAGGAAAAGCAACGAAGAGTCCTCCTCCAAAAACTTTGCTCGGTAGAATCAATAGACAACGCGTAAATTCACTGACAGATTTCGTCGACGTCAAGTCCGCTTTTAATTTGCCGCATAGGCAACAAACACACCGGAAAGCGCGAATAGTTATCTCTTGGGGAAAAATACTAATTTGTGTCGTTCCACGACCTTTGATGAAACTGATGAACGATGTTGCCAACCGATGGACAAGCAGACATGTGATGACTTTAAGGTGATTCGATTGACGCCATATTTTGTGTCAGAACGATGTGCGATATATCGCATCGATCGGTTCCATTTTATCAGCAACTCGTCATTTTTCTCGAATTTTGACTTCTGCTGCGGGAACACTAAAGAATTCACTTATCAAGTTTAACAAACAAATTCAACGTATTAAAGGCGTGGTTTTTTTAGAGGAAAAATATTCGATATTCGTTACTGATATCGAAACTGCACTCGAATGTGATATTTTCTCTCTAAAAAAACCACGCCTTTATTACGTTGAATTTCTTTGCTAACATTGGTAAGTGAGTGCTTTAGTCTCCTGACAACAGAATTGCGATCTCAAAATTCAAAAAAATGACGAGTAGCTAAAAAATGGAACCAATCGATGCAATAAATCGCATGTCGTTCTGACACAAAATATGGCGTCCATCGAATCACCTTAAGCATTCTGATCGATGAATACAAATCAGAGTTTCATACAGAACATGCACATACTCAGTTACAAAACAACGTATGTGCCTTTTGATTTTCTATGCAGGTAGGTGCTTTTACGGATGAGTCGGAATCAGTAGCTCCTAATTTCCGAATGAAGTCCATGTAAATGTCATACGAGAGACTCTAAAATTTTTTAGGAAAACGTAAGGGTCCCTTTTTAGCTCTAGGGTGTCCCTCAAACCTTCTCTCATAGAGGTGCCCGGGAGGTGAGGCTCAGCCATACTGCTGTCGTGTTACGGAAGAGAGCCGTAAGTGCATTTCTGTGGTGAGCCACGGTTAACACATCGTCTTACGTATCTCGAGGCTCATCCCGGAAGTATTTCGACGGTGTAAGTCCGCAACCACGTATCTCGGTTTGCGACGTCGTCGTAGACTTCCTGGAGGGTGTCTACAAGTCCGGAAATAGTACTGATTTTTTTAAGGGTGGTCCGGAAGTACTGAGATTGTGCGGAATTTAGCGAGAGGGTCCGGAATTTTTGTCATTTTTGTCGCAATTCGAGCGAGAAATTCAAATTTTTTTGACGTTTCTGGGTCTGGTTTTTATAAGTTTTCTTCCGAACCAAAGCGACAAATCATTGGTTGGCAGCATAGAGCGGAGCATCGCGAGCTCACGTCTCGCGCCGTAGCGCCTTCAATTTTTCAGATGCAACACGGACATCCATCAAGTACGAATAGTTGTATCCCTGCGCCGTCATCAACGCGCGACTTTCCCTTGCTCTGTTCCCATGCTGTGTTGGTTCCGTCCGTCTTATTTGTAGTGGTACTTCAAGGGCTACGTTAGCAAAACAGCCGAAGATAGGAGAGATGTAATCGGACATTTTTTTTACCTTTTCTCTCGAATCCAAGCGATATCTCATTGACGTCCTCTGGCGGCATTTCCCATTTAAACAAATGTATTTTAGCAAATTAGACCATTTTGTCATATCTCCTTCAATAATTGTTCAATTTATGAACTATAAGGGTATCCTCGTGTTACTATAAGGGGTGTGTGTCACTCAGTAGTTTCCAATTAAACACGAAATTCAGCAAATTTCATACATCTGCAAATTCTATATCGTAAGTAACACGGTGTTGGGACTACCTTTCCACGTTCTGGCAGTTGACAACGTCCCAGCGGCACATCTTAATTTACAACACTTAAACTTATAATTGAATTTACAATTCAACCCTTTTATCAGGCACTTTATTTATTCATTAAGATTACCAAGTTAACCAATTCTAAAATTGCATTTGAGTGTTATTATTCGACTATTAATAAGATATTTTATTTCTCTTTTTTTTCTTACTCTTCAACCCGCAAAAAAATTAAATCTGCGAGATTGAAAACCCACCGACTCAGAATCTTAAAAGTGCTCAAATTTTATTGAAGATGCCCAATTTTCATGGTAGCCATTGAAGATGGCGTATCTGTGTCACTTCAGCCTTTAAACTGCGACTCATGGCAAGATGTCTTATGACACCAGCAAGCTTTTTTTTCCGACCAAATTTTTCACCTATATACTGAGCAGTTTTTTGTGGCTCTTGAAAATCTTCATTTTTCGGAGTTGTTATGTTTTCATTCTCTTATGATTCGATTAAAATATCGTTCAGTCTGTTGAAATGCCGCACTACGCAATACGATAAATCAAGTTTTTTTCTACAAAATTTACTGACCATTGATAAAAAAGAGAGATTGTATCCACGTTTTTTTAAATATATATGGCATATTTAACAATCAGAACCGGGAGGTTATATTTTGAATTGAGTGTCGCTTTTACCACCGAACTTCGCTATGTTCTGTTAATACCTGACGGTGAAATTTCTG